TATGACCCCAAATAAAGTCGTTGAAATGAAAGTTCATCAATTGCGGAGAAAAAAACACAGCCCTTGTCTAGCCAGCTGGAGAGGTCATTGCCCTGGATGAAAAAGAAGAAGACCGGGGAAGTGATTTGGCGTAGACAAGGGAGTGCTCCGACAGAGAAAAATGTGCGGCAAGAAAAAAAAAGGCATATAGACAGTGCAGGACAATCTTGCACGCGCCCTGTGTAAATTTGTCGTTGCTGGTCTCGCCGGGTGGTATCGTAAGCAAGTAGTTTCAAGGCATCGTCGGCTGCACCAGTCAAGCTGCCTTCTGACATTGAATCCGGGTAAAGGTCGTCCATCCGTATTCAAAATTAAAAAAAAAAAAAAAAAGAGTAAAACAAGACCCAGAATCTTTTTTCTTTCCCAATCAGAGTCCCGAGAAAAGTAGAAAAAAAAACAAGAGGGTGAGAGAGACGTTATAGAAGGCCCCCTGCCTGAGGGTAAAACAGTGATGGATCATGCTTTGATTGAAAAGAACAACCGTTTTTAAAGGAAATATCCAGGCAGTACTAAGTCAAGCGTTGATGAGGTCGGAAAAAAAGGAAACAAGACAAAAATTCGCAAAACTTCAGGCAACATCGTTCCTCCTACAAAAGGCGCACCAGCAACAGTCCACATAGCATACAAGTGCCGGCGGAACAGTTCAAGATGCGCACGTTCAAGGAGCCTCGGTGTCTGTCCTTTCAATACTCCACGTAGCCAGTCGAGCAATTGTGTGGCACAAAGGGTCAGAAGGGACAGACGTATCACGAATGTTGAATTTAAGCCACGGGGGCAATAGGAGCCACCGGTGCCTGAGCAGCAGGGACGCTTCCCATATCGACTTCAGGAGCGATCTCACCGCTAGCGTTCTTCTGAGGGCAGTCGCGAGAAATGTGACCAGCCTCACCGCACTGGTAGCAAGTCTTGCCAGCAGTGTTCAGAGGGCCGCCGTTCGGGGCGGTACAGTCGCGAGAAATGTGACCGAGCTTGCCGCAGGCGTAGCACTTCATAGCCTGAGCCTGGCAATCCCGAGCAAAGTGGTTGGGACCACCGCACTTGTAACAGGTAGCAGGACGAGGACCGCCAGAGAACCCGCCGCGTCCAGCGAAGCCGCCGGCAAATCCGCCGCGTCCCATGGGAGCACCACGACCCATCGGGCCAACCGGATTAGGGCACGCGCGCTGGGAATTACATGTCAGCAATGGTTTCGGCCAAGATTTACCACTTGGGGATTACGCACTGCCAGATGACCAGGCTGGCCGCAGTTGTAGCAGCGTCCACTAGTAGCACTGCCGCTAAGGCGCAGAGTAGGGCAGTCGGCTTGAACGTGACCGAGACCCTGGCAGTGGTAGCACTGTTTTGCCTCTGTCGTTCGAGGAAGGGGGCAGCCGTTGGACTCGTGGCCAGGCTGCTTGCCTATGCATGTAGTTTGTTAGAACGGCCGTCGCGCAAGTCGGCGTCGGGAGGAATCGTACAGTTGTAGCATAGGCGCTCGGATGAGGAGCAAACTTCAGCATAGTGGCCGACATTGCCACATTTGTAGCAGGCACGACGAGAGAGAGAAGACATATTGGTGGAGATTTTAGTGTCTGTGACAATATCAGAGTTAGCAATACAGTCAAGCATGCCAGTATAAATAGCTCGTTCTTTGTATTCGAAATGCTCCTCGTAGCCGAGGTTTTGACAGCCCCCAACCAAGTCATCAATTCTATTGCTATGGAATTGGTGCTAGGCTGCGTCCTGAAGGAGCGTGTGATGTTTTGCCAGAAATATGAGATGAAACGACTCAGAGGTTTTGTCTTCATCTTCAATCTCGTTCTTAAATCCGGTGCATGCCGTGAATATATAAGAGGTCGCAGTGGCTGGGAGATAACACGGAAGCATGTTTTCAGTTGGCCTGGGTCGCCACCTGATGACAGGTCGAGGCCCGGTCAAAGCCACCATGCATGTAGAGAGTTGGTGCGACCATTGCGTCGGGCTGGGAGATAGACGCCAGGTCTGTCACATGGAGATGATACAGCTATTGTCCTCGTTGCGGTAGCTGCATTGGTGATTCACCAATGCATCATCACCACAGTACGGTGCGCCGATGCCATCGTGTCGGTGATAAGCGACCGCAAGCGCCAGTCGCGTAGGCTACAAGACCGCCCAAGACACGAGCATGACGGTCTGGCGATGGTCGAACCAAGTTACAAGACTAGATTCGCGACGGTGTGCGGTGGCTGCGCGGCGAGGGCAGCGACGCTCCGAATGGTTTGGCTAATCGCAAAGCCGCCAGCTCTAGTCAGAGCGCGTCGAAAAGGGCTCCGTTGATCAGACTTCCACTGGACTTTTACGACGAGACGGGCGACAGGCAGGCGAAACAGAGTCGACTTGGTGCAGGAGAGAGCGCAAAGTTGAAGAGTAGAATCGCGAAGGGCTTGTCGAGCAGAGCCGGGGAACGAGAGGGGGGAGGGGGGATAGGGGAGCGCACATCATCACACACCTTTGGTAGGACAAAAAAAAAGATGGAAGCGTTAAGCAGCGTGAAGGGGAAAAAATTCGTCAAGATGAGAAAACGTAAAAAGGTACTTCGACTTCCAAGCGAGGCCACGACAACGTCGACAACCACCTAACAATTCCGTTCCGTCGAAGAGAATTGGTGAAGGGACGAAAAATTTTTGCACGACGGGCGGATAATTAATTACGATGGGGGGGAGGCAGTGGTCCTCCTGGTGGTCGCTGGCGCTGGGCATTGCCGGGGCAGGAGCAATGCGACAGAGCGACGGGGCCATCGAGGAAGGACCAGCAGCGTTGGCTCCGGCGTTGGGGCGGCTTGAGGGCTGCGTCTGGACCGAAAAGCGGGTCCTGCTGAAAATCCAGGCGCCAAATGGTCCCTAGGAAGGGGCAGGCGCGAATAACACGGTGCTGGAGGACATGATCCCGTCAATATCTAACGTCGCCATGCTGCAACGTGGCATTATCTCTCGTTCAATTAGCACGATAATCTAGAGGAGAGAGTACTGGCGCACGAGGCTAAGAGCATGTACTTTGTAGCCATGTGCAGGGAGAGTCGCAGGCAAAACTGGCCTAGAATCTTGCTGTGGCTAAATTCCCCGATCTTAAGGTGGTACATGAGTATTTTGGTACGGTGTCCCCAGCTCTTGGATTCTGCTGGACCAGGCACATCAACTTGAATCACTTTTATCCGCAGGAGCTGCGCTGCTCCATTCCCACATCAACTGATTAAAATCCCAGGTTGCCAGCAGAATTGAGTACGCGATTGTCACCATGGGGATAGCTGGCGGTCTACAGTTTCCTGATGCAATCTCCTTTCTCCAGTCGCTGCGTTGTGTAAACTTGCTTCGTACTGATACCTGGCATGCTCTAGTATTTCTGTGCCATGACTTTGTCTCTACCTAATTCACAGAGTGTTTAATACTACGCATCGAGTAGCGTTGAGGTACCCTTACTGCTATTTTCGGCCTAGTGGCTCCTGCACAAGGTACCTCGACACTCTGTTCCAAGCTTGGAAGGCGGGGGAGCCGACAGCTTCAGAGATACTAATTTCAACTCTGCCTTGATTGTGATTTTCACCTGCTGACCCGTTGGCTAATAAGCTGCGCCATCCCAGCAAACTTTTCATCACTTAGTGCACAGCGAAGCACGTCACATGTGTCTGTCGTCCTGGCTTCGATGTTTTCAGCCCGACTACTACCAAGTGGCACTTGAGCCACACGTGCGATTCCATTTCCAACGACCAACTTCCATCATATCAAAAAACTCATCCACGACGCATGAACTAGTGTTTCATTAAGAAACTTTGTTCAATTGGAAGAAAGTCTCTTCTCATTCAAACTAGCAAGACCGGCTCCCGGGACCGTGGTATAAAAGGGACCGCCTGCTAACCGAGGCTACCAACCCGCTTTGCCTCGTGCAAAGCCGAAAAGAATCTAAATATCAAACTGCCTCAATACCACATACGTCAAATTTAAACTAAGCCACACAAATACTCTAATAGCGCTATCAGGGGTCAGCCCGGGATATCAAACTATGACTAATTGCCACGCGCGGATCTGCTACCCGGGGACTGACCACGCAAAACGACGATTTGATATCCTCACCACTTGGACACTTACACGCCTCTTTGGATCTAATGTTCCTGCTTGCAAGCCATCCAGCCAAGCAGTCTTAGTAGTATATCAAGCACAGCCTCCACAGGCGCCAACTACAAGACACCATATACGCAGCCAGCACGGAGACTACACTCGAAACAAAACACCAAGACACCCAGCACGCTCGTATTCTCGGCACGTTTTGAATTCTCCCTGCCTCTCCATTGACGACGCCATAAACTTGCGTTGAATATGAATAACTATACAGTGGACGCCCAGACACAAATGCAACTGATGCTCTTGACAACACGCTCTACTAGATACAACATCGATGCCGGACCAATTTTCAGAACAACCCATGCTTCATGCTAAAGAAGCGGACAGATGGTCGCAATGCAAACCCAGTTATAATACCCAACCCATAAAAGCAACCTCCGGCTAGGGTAAACGGCGGAGCCTTCGGCAGTAGTAGCTCTCTAGAGCCTCACTCGACCCTAGCAGTGGCTTGACGGGCACGAGGCTCACGCCAAATCCGCCAATGGCCTGCCGGTGACCAAGACCGGATCTGTGTAAACGTGTCATACACGATGACACGATTCCCAGTCATTCAGAAAGACCACTGGGCCAGTGAGGCATGGCACAGGAACTAGTGACCTCTTGCCAGAGCCATATCTTGCCGCCACCGCAAGTCCATCGCCCAATAGTTAGGACCATTGAGTCATGTAGGTCTCCCCTGAACCAAAGTGCAGCCTAGTAACTCCAAGACCCACGACTATAAGTAGATAGCATTTGGAAGCAAAAAGAAGATTCCATTTGATGCACGACTTTTGTAAAGTATACTCGTTCCTCGACGGCATATGATACAACCATTCCATCGCCAGCAATTCAAGCCCTCGGCACGGGAGGTACCACCGCCCCAGAGACAGTGTACGTCTGCGGCGGGGGCGCCATAGACCGCGGCCGGGCCTCAACCACGTACGAGATGCCGTCGTCTGAGGCATACGACGGGGGCCTCGGGCCGGCGGCCGTGTCTGGACGCCGCGGCACGGGTTCCGCAGCCTCGTTGCGCTGCCAGAACAGCCGGTTGGGATCGACGCGCTGACGTTGCATTAGCAAAACCACTTCACCCTTTATATAGATCATGCTGGCTGCAGCACCTACCACGCTTTCTCTCCATAGGCCATACGCCGGTGGTCGGCTCTGGGCCGCCTCGCTCTCAATGCCCGCGGCCTCCTCGTCCCGCGCCAGCACCACGGGGATGGGCTTCGGGGGCACCACGTAGCCCCCCGGCCCCATCATCTCCGGCAGCCGTCGCCTCCGTGTCCTGTCGCCGCGCGAGACAATCACGCAGAGACGCACGACGCTGTAGCAAAAGAACAGCGTGGCGGAGAGGATGATGAGTATGATCATGATGGTCACCTCCCCGCGGGAAATGTGGTTGGTCAAAGCTAATCCTAGATCTGGGTCCCCGGGGGGTTTCAGTAACCATGAACGGAACTGTCTGCGTAATAGACGCCATGGATGATGCCGACACACAAAAGGGGCAAAGAAAGAGGGAAAATTTTTGCTACTTACAGACGGCGAGCAGCGTAGCCAGAAACATGCCCGACACGAAACATGTCAGGATCTGGGAGCGGACGTGGCGCGACTTTACCCACGGGAAGCAGAACATGAACTTCCTGGGGTGCGGCTTTCTGCTGCCTCGGCTGCCGGCGTCCTGGGATGGCAGCTGCTGCTGATCCTCGGAGCTGATGGCGACTATCATCGGCCGCTCGGGGGGGTTGTTGCCGTATCCAAGGTGACTGAGCGAATCTCTCGGTCGTGCTGTCGAGGCCACGGGCTCGGGGGGTAATGGCCGCTGCGACTCCAACGGTGCCATTGGAATTGGCGATGGCAAAGAACTCGGAGGGTGCCCGGACTCGCTGTATCTCGACGAGGTGAATGTAAGTCGTTGTGGGGGCTCTTCTGGGGATTTTGGGCCATCGTCGTTTGTAGTTTGCTGTGAAGGCCGTGGCGGGAAAGAAGGTATCCTGTCCAGGATGGCTCTCTGCCGTGATGTCGATGCCTCTGCCGCTGTATTCATCTGTGCCACGCCAATATCCCGCTCATCATGCTCGGTCGTTCGTCTTTCGTTTCGAGCCCGCCGCAAGAGGTCAGCTCGCAGCCTCTCCATCGCACCGTCCCCTCGTGCCATGATGTCGGATACAGTCTGTGGAACTTGGGGCGCGTCAAAGAGCTGAAATCATGGTTTACCAAGCCGTTATAAGATTCTCGTTCTATAAGATTCTCGCTCTCATGCAAAATATTCCCACCACCTGTCGTGTAGTCATTTAACAGAAAAAAAAAGTGAATGTTTGCAACACCTTGTCGCCCCAGCGGACCCTCCTCAAAAGCCCGCTGAATTGGTGAGGAGAAAAATTGAGCACTTGGTCCCGTCTATGAGCACCAAAGAGGAAAATTCGCAGGTGAAAAGGCGGCGGGGTTAGAGCAATCGTGATTGTTGGTCAATGTCCGACTTATACGGACTAGAAGGGATGGAGATGGTGGCTTTCTTGTCCCCCGAGACTAATTTGGCCAAATGCTGGTCCCCGGGATCGCAGACCCCAGCCCCCAGGATGGCCGTGAAATGAAAAAGAGAGATCAAGAAACAAGGGAGAAAGCGACCGTCGGTGAAATTATAATACTAAAACTTTTCTAGAGGAAGGGGGGAGGAGGAGAAAAGGGTACAATGGAGACAATGTTTGGAGAAATTGGCACAAGACGTCTAACGAGATGAGACCCGAGGCCACGAACCAGGTGCACGACACAAGCTGCCCGCACCACGTACGCAGCGAGCAGGTAAACACACTGCGACACGAAAGGTTCAGGCAGGCCGCTCTGTCCAACACGACGGTGGTAAGAGGACTCAGGAGGCCTGCGCCATGTGTCTCACGGTCGGCTGCATGCCCGGCATCCTCAGGATGAGTAACGACGACGGAAACAGGTAAAAGCAGGCACAGGCACACGACCGAAGGGCCCTGCGCCATCCGGAGGCTGTCTGTGCCGGGGCTCGGGGATGGGCGGCCCAACGAGCAGCAGCAAAGTCGTGGGGAAAGGCTTGATGAGGCAGGGGGACAGTTCATGTAGGGCCCCGGCGAGCAGGAATCAAAGAGAGACATGTCAATACATGACCCCTTGAGGCAGGGCGAAAAAGGTTCAGGGTTCCCTGGGGCCGATCGCTGGTCGAGGAACGGCGAAACAGCTTGCCCAGCGAGTGCCAGAGGGCGGCAGAAGGCCATTGCTGCGACAATTGGCGTGTTGCAGAGTTTCACTGCGGCTGCCAAAATCCAATCAATCCCACGGCCGCCAGAGGCGCTGTTTCATCATCCCTGCAGTCGACTTGCCTGGTCATGGGCGCTTGCGATGCGCTCGAGATCCGTCCATTGACTTTGGACCCTGGCAGAAGCGAACGAGTCCATCATGTCGCAGGGAACCGCCAAAGGCGACAAAAAAAGAGGGCGCGTAATACGGAGTACTCTGCTGGCTGGTTCGTGTTGATCCATTGATGGGATCCATCAGCCTCTCTCACAGTGCCCTAGATCGGTATTGTATGCATCCGCACAATGTGCTCCAAAGCACCAGGCTCATCTGAAATACATACGTCTATTGCGTCCGGCCATCAGTCTGCACCTCATTCATGGCCGCTATGATCCGCCTCAAACCCTCATCCAGATGATCCCTCCTCTGCGTAAACACGATCCTGAACCACCCCGGCCTCTCCGAGCCAAACTGTAGTCCCGACGCAAGGAACACTCTTTGCCGCAGCAGGGCATCATTAACCGCCTGGTCGATACCTCGGCCATCATCGGTGTGTCGTTCACGAGAGGCACTTCCCAGGTCCACCCACAGGAAAAAGGCTGCATTCACCCCTGCCGCATACTCGATGCCGTTGCTTCGCGCCCACTGCACAACATGCTCGTAACTCTCGGCCAGCTTCATCCGGTTCTGCAAAATATACCCATCTATCCAGGCGTCATCCTCCAGTATATTTGCCACGACGTGGTCGGATATCGACGACGACGAGCTGTACAGTGACGGCGGCACCAGCGCCCGGTGCAGGCCCGGATTGTTCTGCGATATGATGGCTCCCAGTCGCAACCCGTTGGCCCCAAAATCCTTGGAAATACCCCAGATGACGTGCACGAGCGCAGGGTCGATGACTCCCGCGGTATTAATAGAAAGCACCGACTCAAAGGGGGCAATCTCGACTCCCTGGTCGACCGTGTTGGTAAACGTGGACAGTGCATAAATTTCGTCGCATATCAGGTGCACCTGGTGCTTTTGGCAAAGCCTCATCAGCGCCAGCAGCACCTTGCGAGGATAGCTTCGTCCCAGAGGATTATGGGGATGTGCCAGGATCAACCCGGCGACTCGCTTGCCCTTTGCCTGCGCGTCCCGTATCGCGTCCTCGTATTTCGGCACGCCGTCTTCGCCGAGGGGATCTGCATCATCAAAGTCCACCATGGCGAGCTGCGTGCCCATCCGCAACGTCACGTCCGGCACAAAGGTCCCGTAGTACGGCTTCCCGAGGAGGAAGACGTCGCCCGGGTTCCCGAATGCCCACGCCGTGTGCTCCAGGGCCGAGCTGCAGCCGTTCGAGATGGTCAAGTGTGAGGGCTCGACCGTCACAACAGGATGGAAGTATCTGGTCAGGAACCGGGCCAGCGCACTCTTGAGACGCTTTTTGCCATCGCCATATGTAAAGTCCTCGTTTGGTAGGGCCATGTTTCTGTGCATGTGTTCCGAGAGCATGTCGTGCATAAGGACATTTTCTGCTACGCCGAGACTGACGAAGCCATTGGGATTGTTCTGCGGGTCCCAGATGTTTTGGAGGACTTCCCAGAAGAAGAATTTGGGATCTGGTTTGGATAGGTCTTGTGCTCGCGTAGACAGTGCCATGGTGCCTTCTTTTTTGAATTTTTCGAGTTTAACAGGACGTGTGGAAAAGGACCATATTCAGGCCGTTATGACACCAGGTAACATGTAAGTGCCGACACCGGCATCCTTGCGGAACCCACGTACAAAACTTGCTCCACATTCATCTTCTTCCGCGGCAAAAGTGTAAGGCGTGCTTGACATGGTCATGATTGTCCGTTATGGCTAAGCTTTTGGGGGCCATGACAGGCCTGGCATGCTGGGCGCGCTGGTGATACCTGTGTCTCTACTGCCTTTTGACAACTGTGGCGAATAACCTCCGTTAGTCCTCTGCGCCTCCATCCATTCGGTGGACGTAGCCTCCCAAGTCCGCTGACGACCTTCTCCCACAGCAGCCAACATCAAGTCCACGGGCTCTCCAATGCTGTGGCCAGCACAATGGTCGTGATGTTGGTTTGTCGATGCCACTTGCGACCGCGGTATCATCTGGATATGTCTTTGGCTAACAGTCTGTCTCCAATCAGGCCATGGGCTCTAATGGGGACGAGGACAATATATTGAGCAGAGACACGAGCATTCTGGTTTCAGTTTGTTTCGACCGCAACGTTGCTGCCGTAAACCACAAGCAAACCTCTCCCTACATCCCCACTAGCTCTGCTCTCAGAGAATAGCTTTAGCAAATGGCATTACTAGGTTCGACTGCATGAGCAGGTTGCGATTATTGGTGGTGGCGGCGCTCCAACCGAAGTATCCGCTTGCCGAAGCCGTTGATGAACCTTGATATAGCGCCATCTGTTCCTATTGTGACTGCAAGGTACCAAAGAATTTCAGAGTACCAGTATATCTACCCCGACAACCTAATGTGTCGCAAAGCGGCCGTCATTCTTCGAGAATGTTTCGATTTTCCGGGCGGTCGGCAACCTCGGAACGCGTCCCCAGATTAATAATGAGGCTACTTACTCCGTAAATCGATACTAGAACTGGAGCAATCAGTCTCAACTGGCGCGCGGTAAATTAGTCTTTGAACAATAGGGTCGCGGGAGATTTGTCATCAGCCGCTGAGCAGCAACCCCATGTCACAGTGGTGCCATTCAAATGCGGCGTCGACGCAGAGACATGATATAAAGAGCGCAATCTAGGTGGTTCCTATTGCTTCGCAGTTCAGCAGAGTAATTGACTTCATTGTCTTCTGGCGCAACTTGGTGTTCCGTGCAATTTAATACGGCAACGCAATGGCGACTACAATCGTTGGGGTAAGTACGTATGCAAAACTGCAAGGTGGCGAGGATGCGTCTTTGACCTCGGAATCAGAAAAACTACCATGCTGGTGGTCGCTTCGTAAGACCGGACAGCACTTTTCGAAACTTCATTTCCAGGGACCCAGAGTCCCAGTTTCCAGCTGAAGCAGGACGATATGCACTATACGTATCGCCTGGCTGCCCATGGGTACGTCTGCAAAGAGGTGTTTCAATGCCTGCCAGATGTCTGGTGCTAATTTCGTCGCAGGCTCATAGAACGCTCATTGTTCGCCTCCTCAAAGGCCTCGAATCCATCATTGATGTGTACCAAGTGCACTTTGTCATGGGCCCGGACGGATGGTATTTCAGTGGAGAGGGCGACTCACTCCCTGAAGATCCGTTGCATGGCTTCAAGAAGCTGAGGGAACTGTATTTGAAAGCTGATCCCAGTTTTGTCGGCCGGTACACTGTTCCTGTGCTGTGGGACAAAAAGGCTGACGTGCTCGTAAACAACGAGTCATCCGAGATCATTCGAATGCTGTACTCGGAATTCGATCACCTCGTGCCCGAAAATCTGCGAGAAGGCAATCGACCAGGCGGGGGGCTGTACCCTGAACATCTACGGCCGCAAATTGATGAGCTCAACGCTTGGGTATACGATACGGTGAACAATGGTGTTTACAAGACTGGCTTCGCCAAGACCCAGGAGTCATACGAGGAGAACCTCGGCATCTTGTTCAAGTCTCTTGACAAGTTGGAAGATACACTCGGACACGGTAAACAATTCCTGCTGGGTGACGATTTGACAGAGGCAGATATCCGACTATACACCACATTGGCTCGGTTCGATGTTGCATATCACCCCGTTTTCCTCTGCGACCTCAAAATGATTCGATACGACTATCCGCGACTGCATCTCTGGCTGCGTCGGCTGTACTGGAACAAAGATGAGGACGGTGTTTTCCGAGGGGCTTTCCACAGGACGACGGAGCCATATATCGGCAAGTATGGCTATGGATATGCGCAGTCGCGTCACAAGATTGTCTTTGGGGACCAGGGACCATTGATTGTTCCAGCAGGGCCAGAAATCAAGATGGTGTCACTGGATGTAGGCGATGAAGGCGCATAACTTGGGAACGATGATGGGTTTCTTCAAACAGGGATTCCCGGCCCGCAGAAATGGTCTCATCTGTGGAAATAACAGTTTAGCGTGTCTGTCAGGATAGTTTGGAGATTGGGAATTGGCACTGGCCAGGATAGTAGATGGCACAAAAAACCCAAGCCTGGTTGCACGACGCTGTCAAGCTCCTGTGAGATGTGATGCTCGTGTGCTGAAATGTTGACGATTTTTGGCAGACACAAATTTTTCTGGTTGTTGGGGTAGGTTTCTTCTGATGCCGGGTTGCGCCTTCCAGTCTGTTTTTGTTAACAAAGCACGGTCACACACTCCCAACACTCGCGCCCAGTTTGAAGCAAGAACACTGACACCAACAACCAACCAAACATTCTTCTTCGTCTTGAATGGCATTATGCGCATCGCTGGCCAAACTATTCCGTCTAAGCCGTATTCCACTCATCGAATATCAACTGCTGGTGGCGGTGCAACTGAACACGCCCATACGAACTGTTCCGTCGTCTACCCTGTAGGTAGTGGCCGAACAAATGTTTGATGTAGCCACACGACGGTGTCGATTAACGAGTATATCGCAAGCTTCTGCTTTCAGCAAAGACATGTCGCACACTAAGTGGCAGATTACGTGTCGCAGACTCTCATGCCAAGTCACGGTACGAGAATTCTTGCTCAACAGCCATGTGTCCTGGGTGAAGAGAAATCAAAATGCAGACAGAACGGCAGCGCAAGATGCCTGGCGCCTTGGTATTGTGCTGGTGTGCGCATCTTGTGGGCACCAAGATGCGCCCAGGCAGACATGAGTGGTCGCCAAGCCGCCTAATTCCGACCTTTATTTAGTGTGACCCCAGCGCCTGCTTCAGCCCTCCGTCCTCACTGGCGCGCACCAACACCAACCCAAATCAACCTTAATGGGTTACCTTAATATTTCCCTGCACCGGCACATGGCCTGGTTTCGTTGCCGCTAGCTTGGGAGATGCAGCATTATGTCCCTACTCGACGTCTCTGACCACGATCTGAGTGACGATGTTCGCCTTGAATTGGCCAACAAGCAACCGACCAACAACTACAAGCGCCGACGCGCAGAGTTCTGTTCGCCATGGCCAAGTCCTCCCGCCGTGCTCTCTTTTCGTCCATGTCTGTTTGGCACGCCAAGATCAACATGGTTTAGGAGCGCCAAGACCAGCCATCAAATTCTCTCTTGTCATGCCGCTGGCTGCCTTTTGCCTGGTCCCATGCTCCAGTCGACGCACAGCCCACCCCCTGCCCAGCGCCTCGGGCTTGGCAAAACCTCGCTCACTGTTTGAAGCTGCATTTACGCCTTCTTATTGCGCAGCCGCCGCGCTGGTGTCTCCTCCGCCAAGAGTCTTGGTCACCAGCCAAGCGCATGTGAAGCAAATGGTAGCAAAGCGGTACCAGACGGAGAGACGCCTCCTCAAAAAGGGGGCTCCGCCGTTCTTGTCCTTGGAAGAAACATTATGCTCATTTCTGTTTGGCAATTAACTTCAAACTGGTCTCGCCGGGGCCTCACGACTCTCCAACCTGGCACCTGCTACCAGACCGTATCTGGTTTCTGGCTCTTCTGCCGCCCAATTTTCTTGACATTTCCTTAGATGCCTAGTTCGGTCTTTACTCCCTAGTGCTGGGTGCGTTGTCACTTGACATTTAGCTCGAGCCTTCCTTCCTTCCTTCACACCTTGCCGACTGTGTCTCCATCGCCTGGACAGTACCTTCTTTTGACTCAATCGTCAACACCCTCGCTGACATTACTCGCCGTCGAATTCTTCCGTTTCGCCATTCGCTTTGTTACCGACGCTCTCTGTATCATTTATCACGTCGCAAATAATTACCTCGAGCTTCTCTGGCCCAACTGCGAACCACCCGTGAAACGCCAATTGTCTTCTGTTGTGCAAGTTTCGAAATAGTCTACTTAATTTTTTGGGCTCTCTACACGACCGATCAGACAAAAGGAAGGCGCCTGCACTTCCGTAATTAGCGTACGGTTCGATTTCATTCTGACTCCCTCGATTTCGCTTCGCCATCACCCAGCCCGACGTCATGTTCTCATCGCTGGTTTCGCCAGCATGGCTCGTCTTCGCTGGCACTCTGCTCATTGGCACGACAGGTGCTCAGTATTATAAAATTGACACGGAAGGTATGAGGCGCTCCCCTTGATTCATTTGTATTGGAAATTCTTGGGCATTGCAAGTGTTGCTGGGGTCTGTCGCATGCTGACATGGTGCAGCCGCCATCAAGGAATCAGCTCGAACGTTAGCCTACGATTTAATGCTATTTTACAAAGGAAACCAGTCCGGCGAAATTCCTGGTATTCTACCTGGACCACCCGCTGATGGGAAGGGTCCGTATTACTGGTGGGAAGGCGGTGCCATGATGGGAACTTACATCGACTACTGGAAGTTGACTGGTGACTCGAGCTACAACAAAGTTGTTATGGAGGGATTGCTACACCAGGTGGGCGAGAATAAGAATTACATGCCCAACAACCACACAATGTCCCTGGGAAACGATGATCAAGGCTTTTGGGGCATGTCTGCCTTGCTGGCTGCCGAAAATAAATTTCCTGATCCTCCAGCGGATCAGCCTCAGTGGTTGGCTCTCGCACAGGCTGTTTGGAACACCCAGGCTGACCCCAGTCGATATGACGAGACGTGTAATGGAGGATTGAGATGGCAAATTCCGTTTTCCAACCAAGGATATGGATACAAGAACAGTACGTCTTGATTGATCTTGGGTGTCGCCAGGCGGGCATACTGACGAGTAGCAGCGATTTCCAACGGGATATTCTTCAATATGGGTGCTCGTCTTGCCCGATATACTAATAATGAAACGTACGCAAAGCGCGCAGAGAAGGCCTGGGACTGGATGACGGGAGTGGGATACATTGATCCCAAGTCCTGGCATGCGTACGATGGTGCCCACGTCAACAAGAATTGCACTGATGTCAACAAGGCAACCTTTTCGTACAACGCTGGTGTTTTGATTCAGGGGGCTGCCTTCCTGTACAATTATGTAAGTGTACGCCGCAAAATGGCTGGATAAATGACGACGAGTACTGACCCCACGCAAGACTGAAGGAGCCCAGAAGTGGAAAACAGCCTTGGACGGACTCCTTGACTCTACGCTAAAGACTTTTTTCCCCAACGACATTGCTTTCGAACTGGCTTGCGAAAGGGATAATGGAAGTGGAACATGCACTCCCGACATGCTATCCTTCAAGGGATATCTTCACCGCTGGCTGGCAGTAACAACCCAAGTTGCCCCATATACGAAAGATAAAATTTTACCTGTCCTCCGCAAATCTACTGAAGCAGCTATCAAACAATGCACAGGCGGTCCGACTCAGCGACAGTGCGGCTTTTACTGGAGTTTTGGCCGGTTCGTCGATCCCGCTGCCGACAAAACTACCGGAGCTGGAGAACAGATGAACGTGCTAGCTGCTGTATCAAGCCTTCTCATTGAGAATGCGGAACAGCCAGTAACAAACACGACCGGCGGTACGTCGCTAGGAAACCCCAACGCCGGGGGCAAGGACAACGGGGAACGGCCCGTGAAACCCGTCACAACCGCTGATAAGGCAGGCGCTGGCTTCTTAACATTCTTGCTACTGGGCGGTGCCGTGGGCATGTTTGTTTGGATGAGCGCCTTCGATTAAAACGAGGTTCTGGCTCTTGTATATGTTAGTTCATCCACACATACCACAAATGGCGTTTGGGCACGGGGCTGGTTCTTTTGGATGTCTGGGCAGGCTGAAGCATTCACAATATTTATCTTGATTTCTACACTTGGAATGGGTTGGGCGTTGTGGGATGGCGGTGACCAAGTACACCAATGATGTTTCGGCGCGTGAATGGGGCGGTTATACCAGCAGGCGATCGTGGATTATGATTGATAATATTGAATAGAGTCGACTTCTCGAACGATAATCGGATTGATGCGATGTATGATTTGTACTCAGTGGGCTAGTGCATGCTATGCTGCTGGCCCAAGTCGGCCGGGTCCTCGTCTTTATACTTAGCCACAACCAAATGGTCCGCCATCCTGTGAATAAGCATTCTTCGCCCACACTTGCGACCCTGAGGGCGTGGTTGGTTACTTCTGTCACAAACTACGTACTCATTGCAAGTGGCCAGAATAAATCTACGACGTGGATATAATCGCCATATGATTTAAAAGTTATTGAACTCGGTCATTTCCTTCAAAGTCTGTGTTGATGACTCCAGACGTGAATTTTTGTTATGACGCACTTGGGACAGTGTGATGGGAAATGAGACTTTTCGCGAGGATGGCCAGGCCCTTTCATGGTGCCTGACTACTTACTTAAGTATGGAGAATTCAGAGCCATGTTTGTTATGGAGTGGCCTAACTCTACCGCCCTTTAGGTTAGTCAATGCATTTTATGCACAGTGTGTTAAAGACTGTGAGCTTGTGAGTGAGCAATGTCGAGTGAGTGAGTGAGTGCTTGCTTGAGCACATGTGCTGCTGGGGGGCCATTGAGCATAAGAAGGCGAAATACTGACCCGGATTGCACCGCACAGTTATCCGCCTCGAATGGTCGGAAGCCCTCGCACGGCTGAGAGATAGCACTCGGCACCGCAGCCTTTTGTCAGTTTACTACACAAGTGTCAAGATAATTTGGTCAAGACTGGGCGAAACGCCCCAAGCCACTACTTGCTGAGTCAGCGCCACCAGTTCGGCGAACATAATTCGTCAATGCAGATCGCCTTTCACTCGAGCATCAGGAATCTCAAACCAACTTTTTTTTTTCACAGTTGCCATCATCTTTCTGGCGGGGAAAAATGTTTTTCGACGACCCGTATTACGACAGCAGCATGTCGATGCATGAGCCCCCAAGCGACTCTGACGCGTCATCCGATTCTGGCTCCCAGAATGGCGTTCGCCTCATCGACGACGAGGCAGAGGAGTCCGACTCTTATGGTGCCGCAACTTTCTCGGACTACTCGCCTCTGACGGCGTTCCCGCAATTCATGAGGCTTCCCGTAGAGCTGAGACGCCATGTATGGGAGCTTTTCTGTCCGGACATGGTTGCCACAACACGCGTTTTGTGCTTTACATTGTCGCCTAGCTCAGCGATTATGCGACGGCCAGACGATTACTCGGCCAAGGACCACTGGTCGCTGGCTGATCAGACGGAGGAGTTGAGGGCCATGCTGGCGACGCATCGGGAGTCCAGGACTATGGCTTTGAAGAGGTTTCCTGATAAGTTGCGCATGGATGCTGGGTCGGGAGATGCCGTCGTGTGGTTCAACAGAGAGAGGGACGTTGTCTACATGTATGGATTCGAGACTTACAGGACATATCATTTGCCTGGGTTCGCAGAAGAGGTGCACCAGGCCGTAATATCTCAAGATGTGGTGGACAACAGCCGTGTCACTCGCGCAAGAGCCACGTTTCCTAACCTGAAGAGGTTGTATATCGGCATGGAACACTACGATTTGAGACGGCGTGAAAAAAGGTGGTGTGGAACAGACTACGTCCACAGATATGTGGTGCAGACGTATCGGAGGGAGATTGGATTAGGCGAAGATACAGAAGTGTTGTACTGCTGGCCGGATGTTGACCGGCATCCAGACTTTGCCAGGTACTCCATATCGAACGTCTATAAACATGACCACGAAGTGGCAGAAACTATGGAGGCGGCCAAGGATGCTGGGACCGAGGTGCTACCGATGGTAGTGTTCGAGTATGAGTCTGGGATTGCGAGATGGGAGGAGCTACGGGCGATGAAGGATATTCCGGTGCTGGATGACGGTAGCGAGGATGATAGTGATGAAACAGACACGGAACAGGATGGGTCCCAGGAGGAAACGGATTCGAATGAATATGAGAGTGAAGGAATTGACGACTCATTGATCGAAGAGCAATTCGAATCGTCCGAGGATGAAATTTTCCGCCCTCGATGGCTACTGTCTTCGAGTCCAGAGATTTCTGACGACGAAGAAGCAGAGGATATTGCGCCGGTGCAGAGGTCGAGAAAAAGGAAAGTCGTTAGTGATTCTGAAGAGGAGGAGCCTCAGACTAAGAGGGTGCGATCACGAGTTGTGATGGACTCGAGCGACGACGACGATGGAGAGGAACCGCAGACACGAGGCCGCCAATCACACGCCGTTGTTGTCTCTGACGATGGAGACGAGGACGAGGATAACCCAGAGACGCAAAGCGGAAACCTACGCGCCGTTGGCGACTTGGATGGCGAAGACGAGGTGGAGATTGTGGGCGGTCGATCGAGAACAAGGTCTAGGAAAACAGCGACTTCTGATTCTGAAGACGAAACCGACGGCAGCGGATCTGATAGTGACCTAGAAGAAGAGGACGAGCAGCCAAAGCGAATATCACTAGCTGAGAGATTACGAAGGGCAAGAGAGGAGCATCCCGTGTCGTCTGGCAGTGAAGAAGGTTCGCAAGATGACAATGATGAAGAGGAAGGGGAGGAGGAAGACTCCGACGAAGAAGAAGGGCTGCTGGACGTCATGGCCGGAGAGGGAGATGACGAAGACGAAGACGAAGACGAGGATGGATGGTGATGTCCTGTTGCCCCCCCGCCATTGTACCATATCCAGCCCATGATACCACTAGCTACCTATCTAATACCAACTGCTCGCACCGACGCTCAAGTCAGAGTCTCCCCCCTAGCCAGCATCGCCACCAACGTGTCAATCCTCCGCCGCCGCGTCTCCTCCCTCTTGGCCGTCGCCACCCTCCACAAGAACGGGAACCGCGCGCTCCTCCCCAGACGCCCAAACGCCTCCCCCGCCTCCCGGTTCGTCTGCAGCGCGGCCGCAAAGTCGGCGGGCACCCGCATCGTCGCCGGGCCCGCGTACGCCCTGTCCCACCGCCCATCCGCCCGGGCGGCATCCACCTCGGCCCTGCCCGTGTCGTGCATGCGGCCCTCGGCCGCGAGCGCCGCTGCCTTGTCGACGTTGCGCTTCGACCAGAGGCTGTTCCTGCGGCGCGGCGTGAAGCGCTGCGCGAAGTAGTTGCCGTCGAGGGCCTTGCGCTGTCCGTCGATCCAGCCGTGGCAGAGCGCCGCGTCGACGGCCTCGTCGTACGAGACGCTCGGGATGCGCGAGGCCTTCTTGGCGATCTTGAGCCATATGCCCGACGGGGTGGTTGTGCCGTTTGCGAGGAGCCAGGCGTTGAAGTCTGTCGGCGAGGGGAAGGAGATTGTTTCGGGGTCCTTTGTTGTGACTCTTGCGGCGGGGGTCGATTTTGAGGCGGTGGCGATGGGTGTTGATGGTGCCGTCTTGGCGCTTAGTCTTGTGCTGCGGCGGGCCATTGCAGTTGCTGACGGTGAGGTGTGAAGTAAATGATTGGGAGATGGTGTAGCTGTATGGATGGTTGGGGGATGGTTGTGTGGAAGACGGCGTGAAGACGGGAACGAGTGCCTTGTCAGACGCTTCATCCACAAGATTGGACGGGTGCCTACGACCCGGGGGAGTGTTTTTTTAGATGTTGCTCTCGGCAGGGCTTCTGCTATGGCCTGTATGAAGGAGGATGTAGCTAGATTGATGACAGGTGAGGATGGTGCTGCGGAGAGTCTTTGACCGTGAATCGGGTGTCGAGGTGAAGCCGAGTAAAACGCTAGCGTGAACCGGTGTAGCTACCCTATAGCTAACGGCTTGCGAAGCATTATGATAAACTATAAGCCCAACGTGAGTATGGCGACCTTGACCCCGAGGAGTATTTTGCGTATAATGTCAAGTAATAGTGCTAATGCTTTTAGTCGGTTACGACTAGCCGCGGTGAGGTAAGGCGTCACCGCTGGAGGCTCATTCTTATTGCCATTCGTCACCATCACACGTCCAGTACACATCTCACCAACTTTGTTCAAACTGGATGATATTTTTACAGACCACGAGACAAGCAACGAGGCATTTACACGATGGTTATTAGACAAGCAACGCCTCCAACGCCCAGCCGACCATCAACACTACGCCTTGACACCATCAAACGCGCTGTAGCACGACTGCTTCGCATCCTCGTCGGTCCACCCAATGCATTTCCAGCACTTGAGGAGCCCGGCCGGATCATACTTGTTCTTGATACGGAGAAGCCTGTCGTACGGAGCGCCGTAGTACTCGTGCCTCCAGTCGGGGTTGAACGGGTTGCCCTCGTTGCGGTACGTGCCGCCGCCAGGAGTCAGAGACACCAGCTCGGCCGTCTGCCTCTGCATGTCCCTGACGACGGCGAGGCGCTCATCGAAAGTGCTGTTCCACGTCCAGGCGGCGGGATTGCCGTACTCCCACAGGGCCGTCCTCCACGCCGGCTGCACGGACGTGCCATCGGTGGCGGCGCCGTACATGTAGGGCCCGACGACAGGCACATACGGCAGGCCGCCGGCGTCGACGACGTCGCGGAGGTGGCGCTTGAAGCGGGCGACGAGGGCGGGCGTGGCAAACACCGTCGCCGGCACCAGGCGTGTGTTGAGGATATTGAGCGTGCCGACGCTGAAGGCGCCGCCGAGCACGTACTCCTCGAAGAAGGCGTAGAAGCTGGGCGCGATGCTGACGTTGGCCGAGCCGCCGTGCTCCTCGGCGAACCGGACGATGCGGTCCACGGACTGCCTCGCGCGGGCGAGGCTCTGGATCGCGGGCGTCAGGTAGACGATGCTGTTGCCGTAGATGTGGCCGCCCCATCCGTCGCGCGCCAGGTCCAGCGCCGAGTCGACCAGCGTCTCCATGAAGCCGTAGACGTGGTCCCTGTTGCCGGCGTCGACGGCCACCGATGCCACGGCCACGGGCATCCTCGGCTCCACGCGGTGCGTCGAGTCGACGACGAGGCCAAAGGTGCCGCCGCCGCCGCCGCGCAGGGCCCAGAAGAGATCGGCGTTCTTGCACCGGTTGGCGACGCGGAGGCGGCCGTCGGGCGTGACGACGGTGAACTGCACGACGCGGTCTGCGCCGAGCCCCAGCGTCGTGCTCATGACGGAGTGGCCGCCGTTCTGCACCCAGCCGCCCGACACGCCGACGGTGGGCGAGTACGCGCACAGCATGGTGGCGTTGTGCCTGTCGGCAAAGGCGTATGCCTCGCCGCAGTTGACGCCGGCGCCGGCCGTGATGGTGTCGTGCGTGTCGCCGGCCGGGCATCCCTCGGGGACGAACTTGTCGTCGCGGACCAGCGACTGCAGCCGCCGCGTCCAGAGCATCAGCGCCCCCTTTTGGCTCGAGTCCTCCTGGAAGCTGTGCCCGCTGTTCTTGATGACCAGCCTCCCGCCGCCCCTGCCGGCGTGCCGGAACGCCTCGACGGCGTCGTTGGCGTCCCGGACCTCGACGTAGTACGCCGGCACGTTGCCCTGGTTGCAGCTGACACCGCGGTATGCCGCCTCGTCCCGCGGGTTCGCCGCGTCCAGGAGACACTTGTCCGTGGAGCTCGCGTTGGACGCGCACATGGACGACTCTTCGTACATGTACGCGCCGGCGAACTGGCTGCGGAACGTGGGCGACGCGTACTTGTCCTGCAGCTCACGGCACTCGTCGGCGTCGCGGCCGGCCGGTCTGCCCTCGTATATCGAGAAGCACGGCCGCGCAAAGGGCTCTAGGACCTGCACCCTGCCCCCGAGCGTTTGGTTCAGGTCGCGGATCTGGCTGGGCGTCCACGTCCCGGCTGCAAAGGCTGTGCTCGCAAGGAAACTGCAGAGTGTAATCGTCGAGCGTGCCATTTGATCCTGTTGCCCGGACTCCGGAGCTATTTGTCAACAGATCCGAGATGGCTACCGAGACAACAAAAGCAAGAATAAAAAAACAAAGGCTGCACCACCGGCATAGCTCCCCACGCTGTGAACAACTATATATACATTCCAACTGCCTCTGCGCACCACACCCCGTCTCCAGCAAGGTCCGTGGTCTCGGGTTTAAACACGGCTCGCCCAGTCAACCGTGTTGGACGACGAGCAAACAAGTCTCAAGAACGTGGTCCCCGAGTCCCACGGGAGCCGTATCCCCCCATGTCTCCTTTCCAAAGCGCAGGTCGCATGGTGATCAGGGAACACCTAGGAGCTGATGGTTAGCTCTAAACCTGCAAACCTCGGGGAAGAAAAAAAAAACAACCAACCTTGCCGTGCCACTGCACACATAGCTCCGCGGGCACTAATACGGCCCCGGTGGAGATCAAAAGGACCAGACTTGACTTCTTGCGTGGCAGCCGGAACGCTGCGGAAATCGCGAGGTTTTCCCCCGTGACGGGATCGCTCTCTTGTCAGCCACCGCCCGCTCGCCGCTGACCGCCGTGAGACGGAGATGTGAATGCGTCTTGATGGTGAGAAGCAAAGGAAGAAACTGATGCCCAGTTGGCCTTTTTTTTTTTTTTTTGGTCAAATCGATACGACTGCCCGGTCGCGTGGATCCCGAATGTCCGTCTTTCCAACCCCAACTCGATGCTGTTTTTGCTCAAGCATATGTCGTATTGACATGTGTACATGCTACCCTCGGAATTGGAAATTTTCTGGAAGGCGTCATTTCCTTTTTGCTTCTCTTTTGCAGCCCGTGTCGTACGGAAGCTGTACCAGGACCGCTTGGCTGCAGCGTGAGCAGTCGGAGGTCTCGGGGAAATCGCTTACGCCGACCCGTGATGCATGGCTGTCAGCAAGGGGGCAGTTTGACGCTTCTGGACAGGCAAGACAAGCCAGAACAAGCCGGGCAAGTCGTAAGTCGAGCCCATGTCGACCCAGGGTGCAACGGTGCTGACATGTCTGAGCCAACAGCAACCACCATTTGAACCCTCTTTTTTCCTCTCCGGCAAGGGTCCGGTGGGAAGAGGCGCCTTGCACTCGGAGTTGGATGAACGTTGCAGGCGACCAGCGAGAGCCGATCTTGGTCCCCTCGACCCAACAGGACGAGTCGTCGCCACGCGGCGTGTTCGAATGTGCGTAGCATTTGCCATCTGCCGAGTTGGCACAAAGTGGACGCTGACTGGTTGTACAACAGCGGGATTCGGAGTCTTGCCGCCATTCGGTACCGTCTGAAGCATCATCTTGGGGCTGGCAACTCCGCAGGTGCACACTCCGTACAATCCCAGCGCCGTTTTCTCTCCTTGGAATTGCCTGATGCTCCCGTCGTTGCTCACTTCGTCTCGACTCTCCACCATCCAAGCTTTTTGTCCAACAACGCCGGGGGTCCAGCGTCTGTGTCCCCAGAGGCCCTCTCACCAACTCTAAAGGGAGACCGGAAAACTCTCGCACATGGATGACAGACGAGATTGATGCCGGGGAGCGCCATCCGGTGCGTGCTCCGTGCGCCCCCAATATCTCCCAGGGTGGTGCATGTGCGGTTCATCAGCGCAACCCCAGCCCTGCTGGCCTAGCCTCATGGAGGCACTGCACACGCGGAACTTGTGGTGAAGATGGCGTCGCCAGCTCGCACAAGGGAACTAGGCCGTTTGCAACGAGTTCCATTGTCGATCTCGCCCACCGGGCCACCCTCGTGTGAGGGGATATCAAAACCCGGGCCGTGGTGTCGATACTCGGCAGAGCGTCTGGTGGCATGTTTCTTCGTCGCTGACGCCAGGGTTGCACAACGGGCTGAGGCGCAACTCTTGCCTCTTGCAACATGTATCGTGGCCTTGACGCTTCAGGCAACAGGGCCGGCCCCAAGACGGGCGACTACATTGAGAAATAAAGGTGTCGGTCGAGCTGCGGTGGCATCCAGGCACCACCGTCTCAGGGAACTCGGTTAGATTGACAGCCTTGTTCCGTTTTGCCTCTGCTAGTGGTGAGCCCCATGATGACAAGGGCAACATTGGACTCTCTTAAAAAAACGGGTGAGACTACAGTTGCAATCTTGGGGTGCATGTGCAGTCGCGCAGTATGCCGTGGACTGGGGACACGGGCTGAGTAAATCTTACACAGTGGTTGCTACCTCCTACACCACATCCGTTGTTGTCCGTGCTTGGGAGCATGTCCATATACCCGAGCTTTTTTTGGCCCGCCGCGGTTGGTCGTGAAAGCCTCTGCTGCGGGAAATGGTGGCGCGGGTTTTTTGCCCATTTACAACCTTCACTTGCGCTGGTGAAAAAGGGGGCACGATATCATGCGCGTGTCCCTGGATACAGCTCTTTCTTCCAGAGGACCCGAATGACAACGACTGGATGAGGGACTGGTGAGGTAGAAGATCCCACAAGAACAAAGACGAGAGGGCATTTCCATGGCGGATTTTTGTGCCGTGCCGATTCTGCAACCACCTCCACAGCGGGCACTGCGGCCACCATGGCTCGAGACTTTCCAGAGTCTGAGGAGGCTGCGTACTGGAGGAGGGTCAACACGGCGGTTCCCTTGACGTTTGCTGCCCTGGCGACGGTTGCGTACGCGCTGAGGGTATACGCGACCTTGGTGCTGGCGCGGCGGGTGAGGGTGGAGGATTTCTTCATGGGCTGCGCCGTGCTCCTCATGATTGGGAACACGGCGTCCGTATTGCTGAGTGCGTCCCGTGCGATGCTCGACATGGTGGTGCTTTGGAAAACGCTCTGGACACCGGTGCTAACTCACGTTTAGAGGCCTTTAACGGCATCGGCGTCCCGGACAAGGACCTCCCGCATTACAGACAAGTCAACTTTAAACTAGTATGAAGCTTTTTTTTTTCTCGTACTACACCGGGCATATACTGGCTAACACTGTCAGGGCTCCTGGCTCGTCATCAAGTTCTGGTCGGCGTCGATGATATTCGCCAAGCTCGCCATCATCCTGTTCCTCCGTCGAGTCACTGGCGTGAACCGCACGGCTCGCGCCGCGCTGGACACTCTGGCCGTCCTCGTCGTCATATGGGGCGCTTCCAACTTCTTCTACACGACGTGGTTCTGCAAGCCTGTCGCGTACTACTGGGACCGCACGATAGAGGGCGGCTGGTGCGTCGACAATGACCTGTACATGATTGAGAGCAAAATCATTGCCAGCACCGCCGTGGCCATGGACGTTGCCATGCTGTCGATCCCGATTCCGACGATTTGGCATTTGCAAATCCGGCTGCGGCAGAAGATTGGCATAACCTTTATCCTCTGCATTGGTGTTGTGTAAGTGGAGAGGCTACACCAGACGATTCGGATACCTCGTGCGTTTTGGGCTGACGGGCGCAGTGTCTGCGTATTTAGTCTCTTGCGAGCTGTGCAATTTTCACAGTTCGACACGGCAAACCTATCCAGTGAGACCTACTTCCCGCCCCTTGTTCATCCGGCAAGTTTGTACTGACGTTTTTTCCTCCGAAGCATCGAGCATCCTCGAAGGTTTGTGGACCGTCCTAGAAAATTACTTCACCGTGCTATGCGGCTGCCTGCCCCAGCTGGGCCCTTTGTTCAGAAGGTCGACGAAAGAAAAAGAAATGAGCACCGGCCCGGGCAGCGGCTACCTGGGGTCGTACGACGCGTCCAAGAACATCCGGTCCTGGGGCTTCCAGAAGATGAGCGCCATCGAGACGTCTGTTTGCGGTGCACACGATGCCCCCGTCCAGGCGCGGTACAACAGTTCCAAGGAGCAGCATAACTCGTCCGAGCTCGAGCTCAAGGGCATCGAGGTCCAGACGACGATCAACCAGGAGATTTCTATAGGGACGCGGAGCGATGACGAGTTTCACATGCCCCTGGACGGGCGGCGATGAAGACTGTGTTCAAGGCGGCTAGGGTTTTCTTCACGGAGTCTTGGGACGATGGACACGGCGTCGGTTGAGGAGGAAAGAAGTTGATTGCTCAGATCAATACCCAGTTGGGGACGTAGACGCAGATTACAATACTACCCAGCACCGAATTGTGTGTGATTACGAGCGAGTCCCATGTCATGACTGATGCCTGCTCCTCAACCCGCTCCGTTAAGACACGTCTGGTATTCAGACAGAAGACTTCTGCAGCATGTACTCCATCTCCCCCGCCTCCTTCAAAGCCTCCCTAACAGCGTCCTTTGCCGCCTCACTCGGCTCCTCGTAGGGATGCCTAGGGCGGAACTTGGCCTCGGCGTCCTCAATGCCAGCCAGCCGGGCCGAGAACAAGGTAGCGGCAAACTTGGTCGCGGCGATGCCGCTCTTGCACGGGCTCTCAGCCAGAGCCGCCAGGCGCTGCTGCTCCATGGCCCTCTGGCGCTCCCCCCCAACGTAGAGGCTGTATATCTCGGCCGTCAGCCGCGGGCACACGTTGGCAAAGGCGGCGATGCACCCAGCACTCCCGGCAGCCAGCCCCCCGATCAAAAAGTCCGACTGGCCGCCGAACACGGCAAAGTCCTCGGGCCGGTGCTGCGCGGCCAGGCGGGTGATTTTCCCGACGGAGCCGCAGGTCAGCTTGACGCCGACGACGCGCGAGCGGCCCCCGTTGGCGCGGGCGCTGTCGCGCACAATGGCCGTCATGGTGTCCGAGTCCATGTCGACGCCGTTGCACACGCCGGGGAAGTTGTAGATGACGACGGGGAGCGCGGCCTCGGCGGCGACGCGGGCGAAGAAGCGCCGCACCGTGGCCATGGTGGTCGCCTTGCCAAAGTACGCGGGCGGCAGCACCAGCAGGTAGTCGGCGCCGGCGGCGGCCGCGTCCTCGGCCAGCTGGAGCGTCTGCTTGGTCGAGTGGGCGCCGACGCCGGCCATGAGGGGGAACCTGGGGCCGACGGCCTGCCGGGCGGTGGCGATGAGCTGCGAGCGCTCTTCGCGCGTGAGCAGCATGGCTTCTGAGTTTGTGCCCATGACGACGAGGCCCGCTAGTCCGGAGCGGGATAGGTGCGCAAAGTACTTGGACTGCGCGGCGAGGTCGAGCTCGTCGTTGTCGGTGAAGCAGGTGACGGCTGGACACCAGACGCCGGCGGGGGGCACGGCGGGCGGTGTTGTCGTTGATGGCACTTGATTGACGGCCATGCTGGCGATTATGTCTGTCTGCCGGTTGGCTATCAGATGTAGGCGTGGTTTGCAAGGAAGTTTGGGAATTTCTGTGTGGTTTGGTGTTTGATGCTGTTTCCGTGAGAAAGCTGTGCGGGTCGCGGACCGGGATCGAAGCCGATGTGTCGGGATGGCTGCCGGAGCATCTTCGCCTCGGCCGAGGGAACCCGCACACTAGGTTCAGCTTGCGTCTTGCAATCAGTGGCCTGCGCCTGGGGCCATGCAGCGATGCCCAACCATCCACCGAGACCGGACAAGCTTGCAGGCACTGAAAGGGGCTATGATGTGTGTGATATGGGGCCAACTGGTGCTTTTACTTCTTTGTTCAAAGCTACTTGCTGAGCTTAGCGTCCATCCGCTTTACAGTGCTCAACTCGTACAAACATGCTTGCCGTTTCTTTCAAGAAGCCCGGGAAGAGACATTTTCCCCGTCTCTCGAGGCCTAAGCTGTGAAGCTCGGATGCTGACGGGGCCGTGGCCGGTTCAGAGCCTGATCCTCGAAATCCGCAGAACATTAGACGAACTTTTTGAGGTACAATTTGGCTGTAAAAAATAGTAGGGATATAAAGTACTCTTTATCGTCCATGTTTGTTGGTGCCTTTCCTTCCCTCCCCGTAGATACTTATTATATGGTTAGGGTGATGACGTAAGAGAATTTTTCGTGATAAATTAGTTTAAATAAAACCGGCAGGTTTTTCATTATCTTGGCATCGCAGCTTTTTCCGGGAATTTTCGCGGCCTGAAAGGGACCCTTGTTAAAAAGATAATATACATATTTGGACAAGCAATAAAAAGTCCAGAACATGAAGCCCCTGGCTTTCTTCTGTTAATGGAAATTACTGAGAATATGATGGTCTCCTAAGCTACGGAAGGCCTTACTGCCATTGAACACAACAGATATTGTAGCATCGGGCTGCTGATTGCTTCGGCCAAGTATGTGTCACATATTAGGCTGTCGCATATCAGGCTTACCCTGATCGTACCTTGGAACAGACAGTCTAATTCAAGCATCCATTGACAGACACGTGCAGCCGGTTGCTGCCTACCCTCCAAAACATCGAACACTTCAGCCAGCTTTCGATAAGTTACGATGTATTAGGGCCTTTATCGCTCTTAACGCCCGATGGAGAGTATCATTGAGCGCAACAGACTGGCTGGGACTTCAAGAGAACCCTACTATGCACAGCGTGTCCATCAACAAAGTAGACCAACGTATGGCTTCCCGTCATAGCGAATGCTGTCTCACTTAATAGGGAAAAAATATTGAGAGCTCTTTGGTAGCCGTCTTTCTTCAGCAATGGATGGTGTAGTGTAGATGCTTCATCATCAGGGGGCCTGACCCAAGCCAACACGGAGCTGGCCGTGCTGCACGGAGGAGCGAGTGATTCGGAAGGAGTTGGAGGTGATTCCGTACGGCCGAATGAATAAACTTGTCAACGTGGCTTCCAAGCCGGCGCCAGTCTCAAGCTACATAGGTAGTAGTAAGATGACATCTGGAGTTAATACCGAGGAACCGGGGAAATTTGACAGCTCTCAAGGGGCACTGGGGTCTCACGGCCAATCGGAGAGTGCCGGAAATCTGAACCAATGCGTGATGGCAATTTCGTCGAGTAAAGCCGACATCGAGTAATGGAAGCAGGTTGCTTTACCTGGTTGACGACAAGTCTTTGCTTTGCATGCTTGATAAGTATTGAGCAGTCACAGCTAACAAGTCAAGGTACTTGGCTGTTGGATACACTGATTGGAACTTTTTTATTTTGCAGCTGGGGTCGAAAAGCGAGTTTGCCACGACGACCAGTTCCCAAGTTTACACAAGCCAAGGCGCTGCTTGCAGTTGAAATTGACTATTGGCATATCTGGGCTCGTTCTGCCCATTCATCAGGCCACTAGGCCCACTAGTAAGATGATTCGTACAATGCAGTTCTATACGGCATGATAAAAGCGCTCGGTAAGATTTTAATTTACATAATCGAGATGCGTACAAGGTGTCTTTACGAACTAGGCTTCCAATTAGCTCAAAATCCCTACCTATAAGTATTTCTCATCTCCGTGGCACCCGATTTGCCTACCCCAACCCAATGCCACCTAGTCTTGGTTCCTACAAGGCAAATATAAACAGAAAAGGGTAGCCTCGACAAACATTTCAAGCCAAGGCGAATCCTCTTTAAGCATAGATTTCTTTATACCTTTTACCTAGTAGCCTGTCTCGAATCCCGAACATGAAGTCTCTCATCACCATTCTGCCCATGGCCCTGGGTCTAGCTACTCTTGGTTTGGGAGCAGACACTCGACTAGCTGAACGAAACGATCGTGCAGTGAACCCGTCCTATAACAGCATAAACCAACTTTTGTCCGACATGCGTTTTGCACTGAGGGATATAGAAAGGATGCAGTACTCTATTGCTAGCGCTACAGAAGAACTCGGCATCATATTGGAACCTGCAGGCTGTAAACCAGCAGTAAGTGGACACATGCATGAGTGAAAAGGCCCTCGTATTAATCGGAGAAAAGCTCAATGGCAACATTATGAGTCGCATTCAATCTCTGGGGGAGAATGCGAACAAGACTCTAGAGAGTACGAAAGAAGCTTTACAAACACGCGAATATTTGTATGGCATAGTGCAAGGGGATGTAAGTTTACGTGTTGACGCGTACGTCTGAAAGTGTCTGGTGCTGATAAAACACGAGGCCATTCACTATTGCACTCCAAACTGATGGATGCAACAATGTATTCCAACGTCGTCGTCAGCCGCCCGAAACTTGGCTTGCAGAGATTCGGCAAAACACAACATCTCCAGGATACAAATTACTCTTCGTCGCCAAAGTTTCAATTCTGTATAATTCAAATTTTTATCAGGATCCAGAGCGCTTCACTTTCACTAGACTATCCCGTGTAATGGTGCCATGTGACATGGCATGAGTCGTTGTTGCGTTGTATTTCCACGGTCATGTGAAAATTGCACGCATAATGGTTACTGCTCTGGATGCTAAACAACGACAGCAACGACAGCAACCACAAGAGGCCACGGCTGTTCGCTTCCAGGCCTAAGCTTCTGCAACCCAGAGCTGATGTTTGTCATGGCGGGTGGCCATCACGATCAAACAAGCTTGAAAGGCAGATTCGGACGACGGCAAGTGCTAGCTTTTCCCGGTGTATAAACGCCAACTGCAAAAAGTGGTTGCAAAAGGGAGAAAAGGGCAACCAGTACTTCATCAAGAAGCTTGGTCAACATTGGGGCCCATATCATAACGGAAGGGATTTGGGCTGGTTGAGCCAAACTCCCAGATACACGTCTCCATTGTCATGCCAGCAATGGGAAAGCACTTGATAAGGAAACCTTTTCAGTTTTCTGTCTCTTAACATGTTGCTATGCGATGAGAGTCGTTTGACCATGTTCAATATTTGGGATTCTCAACATGCCAGTCGCCATGACTTCATTTCGACCGCCAGAGCCATTGGTGTCATTTTTATGAGACGCAAATTATTCGCTGAGCTCGCTGTACAAGATTATTCTTGGTCCCTAGTTTTTGTTCCGCGACGACACACGATCCGAGGCGCCTCCAAGCGTCAGTTACTTCCATTTACTTTCCCGAGCCATGTGTAGTAGCACTGTCAACACAGCCAACGGTTTGGTCAAGGTTGTGGTGGATGCCAACAGCGCCATGCGTGCCGGGACATGTGGACCGTTGACGTTGATCTGATGGGAACGGCCCGTTACGAGAGTGATTTAAACAAGGGTCAACTGGCTGTACGTTGGTGATTGACTTGGAAGCGGGAACAGGCCCCGCAACGGTAGACACCAATTGAATAAAAAGGATTCAATGTTGACATCAATTGATATGTGTTTTAACGACTCTGCCAAAAGTGGAGGCCTCACACAAGGCGAGGTCTTAATTTAGTAGATATCTGTTTTCCTTTCAACAATATGATCCCAAACCCAAACCCAAAACAACCAAGGGTTTTGCGGTGCTCCCATCGCCCACTACATTCATGTTCAACACCAGACCAGTACTACCGTCGACAGTCTGCGTCTAGCTCGTAACCCGACAGCTAATGTTGAGGGTCACAAACCGGTCCAGACTTGTAGCCCCTACCACTACCAGCATTCGTAAAAGGATTCGACCCCTTGCGGCAGCACTTGTCATTGTCGGTATTCAAGAGCTCGCCGTCGATTACATAGAGCCACTTGTTCCTCACCCGTCCCCAGGCGTCTGCCGAGCTGCCACCGAATGCCTCTTGCCCCCCGGCACACCCAAATGTAGCATCACCACCCGTTCCTGCTTGCAGAACCAGCGGCTGTGCTTCCCGCAGAGGCAGGCTGGGCCGGACGCCCTCGCCAGCCTCTGTCGTGATATAAAGCGCGATGCTGCGCTCGATGTGCGTCGCGTAGCCATCCACCGAGAGCTCCGAGAATTTGCACGAGTAGTCTCCAAGCACACGCGGTGTGTCGTACTCGGCGTCGTTGATCTTGATACGGTTGCCAGAGGTGTAAAAGCCAATAGTTGTAGGCGAGCTGGCCTCATCACCGGCCGTGATGTTGTAGCATTGCCCGTCGAAAATATACGGGAAGAGGCCTGGTGCAAAACCAGCAGGGCGAGCGTGTACAGAGTGTAGCAGTCCGAGTACGGCCAACTGTGTAACCTTGAGCCACGCCATAATTTGAGAATCTTAAAAAGAACTTGAAAGTTTATAAACTTGCTAGAAAGTAAGAGATGAAGATGAAGCTTTTGTTTTCAGTCCAGATCAAGGCCTACTAACCCTTATATACTCGGAGGTCTGCACATCTTGCGAGAAGTCCAAACCTGCCATCTATCAGCCATTAGTGGGTTGGCTATCCAGCTTTGAATCGGCCCGATACCTCACAAAAACAGAGAGTCTTTTATGCCTAATAAGCTTAGGGGTTATACGAGGGTTTACGAGGGTAACGTATATGTATGCATATATAGCGAGTGGTATAACCTACCATCCAAATAGCACCATTCTTCTTCAATTCCATACTTGACCAAATTTATGGAATTCCTAAACGAGGAGAGTTACACGATCTTGGCTATTGAGGCTATACCTTGGTGCAAGGTCTGCTGCGACTCTAATCATTTCTCAGCTTGGCAAAGTATATGTAAGACCATATTACTTGTAATCATCCCCGGCCCATATTCGGTGTTTTCGGCAGTAAAGCTCTCACCACCAAGGTGGTGCTTATCACCAAGACGGCCCAATTTTGGTAGAACCACCTCATATGCGGCGGTCATAATGATAGGCCAGGGCTTGCTTTACGTTCGCTGGTCATGTAAGTGGCCATGTAGGCCGGCTCTTAGATGAATCATAAATGTAGCATATCAGTTGTAATCATGTAAGGGAGTAGTGGGCTGCGAGGGCCAGGCAGAAGTATTGATGCAAAGGGCCAAGCGAATTAACGTGGGTGCATAACCGAGTGACGTAACATGACGAGCCGCGCACCGAATAGTGCCTTCTCGTAAAGGTTATACAGGAAAACGATTATAATATACAGATCCAATTAATATGTATCACGATCCTTCTTATTAATTTTTATATTAATTTAACAAGTACGCGTATTATAGCTGGTCTCACCACACACACCACATCGCCGACCCCTTATCTCAGCCTTAGGCTTCCGACGTCTTGTCTGGCCATCTTCTTGCGTTTAATTGTATCTGCTTATCCGCGTTATTCTTGTCCTCTCGCCTGTGAAAAGTTTTGGTCGGTCAGGTTCAGGGTTGGGGACCCCTGCATGATATATGTATGTACATGATAAATCTAGGTGCCTGTCGACCCATTCCACAAACATCCATTTTGGGCCTTGGTTTGGCCATTTCCGTTCGGCATTTTACGTCAAATGCCGGCCCGTTCCGGGCGTCGACGCGCCCTTTTTATGCATGTTTTATGCGTTACATTGGAAATTCAAATTTCCTGTCGATTTCGCGAATCATGCCCTCGCGAACCTGCCGCTGTGTCCAGAGCTTCACTGCAAACGCCGCATGTCGCACGGCTACACCCATGACAAGAGTACAGTGGAATAAAAGGTTCAAATTCAGAGATAATCCCTAAGGGTGTCAAAGGACCTTGGTTTTCCAAGAGGAAGGGGGGGATCAGTGACCACTTTACATGAAGGGAACGCCCGCGCCTAGGGCTCTTGCCCGGGCACGTGTTCAATCTGTGTAACCAATAGGTCTTTTGTCGGGGAAGCCCCTTTGTTGGGCTTCACGATCTGTTGAGCCTTTTCCGTGCAACAACACCTCATGTCATTTTGCATTCACCTTGATCTATCATAGCATTTGCTCGTAGCAAGCCGATGGATGAGTTGCCAGTGATCTCAACCAAACGTTTGCAGACGATGAAAAAAAAGGCCGACCGAAAGATGACGGCCATCGAAAAGGCCGTCAGAGAGTGAGCCCCATTTGGCGAAAATGAAGTCCTCGCGTCATCTAATTTGATATAGGGCTTTTGACAGCGATACCCTGGCGGATGTCAAAATTTACCTGGGCGACGTCGAGCTTCCCGCGCACAGCCTCGTGTTGACCGCCCAAAGCAGCTACTTTAAACGTGCTCTGGTAGGCGAGATGCAAGAGGGCAAGACCAGAAAGTTTGAGTATAGCGAAGGCAGCATGCATGCGTACTGGCGGGTCTTTGAATACATGTACAAGGGAACGTACTCTGAAGAGCCTTGTATAAAGCTCACCGAGCTAGGTACGTCGTGCGCTCCCTAACCGCGGGACATGGTGTATTCTGATTCGCGCTAGATGACGACGAGCTCTCCAAGGAAGTTCGAGTGTATCAGCTGGCCGATTACTTTGAAGTGGATGGCCTTAAACGCGAAGCTCTGCGGAGGTTCACGACGAAAACCATTGAGCTATGGGCTACCGAGGCGTTTGTTGATTGTATAAGAGATGTTTACCAATCTACAAGCAATAAAAAGTGTAAAATGAGGGAGGCTGTGGTTGATATCGTAAACCAGCATGTGCCCAAGTTATGGGAAGAGCCGCCTTTTAGGGATCTTGTCCGTGAGGGGGGTGACTTTCCGGTGGACTTGATGAGTAGATTGGTTTGGGCATATGACAAGAGCATAAGGCTTGGAGCAGTGTGACTCATTTCATCTAATAGTAACAGTCTTGAGTATTAAAGGCCCTTGCTTTTCTCAAGGCCTAGTTGACCAAAGAGCTCTATTTATATAAGAAGTGATGCGAGCCTTCTGCCCTAGGCCCCGTAATCGTAGCCCTCGTATGACCGTGTGACAGGGAATGAGGTGAAAACTGTTGTGTGGCGGCTGTCTACATACGAAAAGTCGGGGGAAGTCGGGGTATCTGTTTGATCGTAGACACACATTTGCTATCAGAAAGTGGCCTTGCACTAACTTCATAAATTAAACAAGTTTCGCCCTTCATAACAGTCTTACAATGCCATTTGCGTATATCTTATTGACCCATTCAATCAGTCTCGTGCGAGCTTGCGCCGTACCGGAAAGTTATCTAGCCGCCTTCTTATTTGCCTAGCGGATGATGAGTTTTCGGCTGATCATCGGGAACCGTGTACAATCAATTTATCTGTTTGTATGTTGCGTTTGCCACAGCAAACGGTTCATAGGAACTGCCCGTTTGTTTTGGTTATCTGATATCCCACGTCCAAGTCGGACAGCAACGTCATGTGATAGAGTCCAAAGTTTAATGCTGTTGAAACTTCAGAAAGCAGTGTTTCAACCCTTCTCAAACATAAATTGTGAATCTCTTGATTAGAGCATAGCTCTCTGATGTTTGAGGATTCGTAGCTGAATGTTACACGGAAAAGGCCCAACAGATTGAAGCCCAACAAAGGGGCTTCGCCGATACAGGACTTGTTGGTTACACAGCTGGAACACGTGCCCGGGTAAGGACCCTAGGCCCAGGCGTTCCTTTTATGTATATAAGGCGGTCACCCTTCTCTTCCTTTCTCGTAGCAACTCAAGACCTTAGAGACACGTCAAGATTATTATTGAATTGAGCCCCTTTTGCTCCAAGCCTTGATAATTGAACCCCTTGTCATACTGAACATGGATCAACACGACGCACACTGCGAACTCAGGCGCCAGATTTCAGCGTAAGTGCATCCTCGCTTGCCTAACGCAACTCAGAACTAACTTTTTTTCCCGCAGACCTCTCAAGTCGGGGGAATTCTCCGACCTCACGTTCCTATGCGAAGGTCAACGAATTCCTGCACACAGGATTATAGTGTGTCCGCAGTCTCCAGTTATCCAGGCCGCATGTACTGGTTCTTATAAAGTAAGTACGCGGAGTCGAATACTTTGAAGCTTGCTCTTCTCACAAACATGGCACATCTAGGAGCAGGAAACGGGCGTGTACGAGATCAAAGACGTTTCATTCGACGTTGTCCGACAAATGGTAGAGTACTTGTACACAGGTCGATACCAAGTGCCCTCGTCTCAAGACTCCGATGACAAGAAGCAAAATGCCGTTTTGCCTCTGGTATTTCATGCAAGAATGGTTGATGTCGCAGATACATACATCATCAAGGGCCTGAAATCGTTATCCATGGCCAACTTTAAGAAATCTGCCCGGCGGGACCCGGATGACTGCGCGTTCTTGCGATCCATAGTCGACATCTACTCTTTGCAATGCGAGTCCAGCCAAGTACTTCGAGATATAGTGGTTGAATCTGTAAGAGAGCGACTCGCCCGATGCTTGGATTTTAGTAAGGATGGACTGTTGTATGAAATAACGAAGCAGGTTCCAAGTTTCTGTCATGATCTTATCGGCTCACTCTTCAGTAAGCCCATGTTGGGTTATTGTACTCGATGTGGACCAGAAAAGCTGGTCGAAGTGGTTCCTCTGCATTGTGGATGCAAAAATTGTGAAGGATTTGCATCAACGTTGGCAGAGCAGCGTTCCCTCTGAGCTACGACGTCAAAGGAAACAATCTGGGAAGAGTATCAAGCGGTTACAGGTAGCAGGTCCGGACATGATCTCGTGTAATTTCACACAATGGTTCTCATGGACTGGTGGAGATGATGACAATGTGGGTAGAACAACCAAGTCTATGCCAAAGCTTTGTACAAACCTTTACTTTGAACATGAATTATCCAAAAGATGCCTAGCTGCAAGCTAATTTCGCAGGCGTAATAAGTGTACTAGAGCCATTACAACATAAATACTACCAACGAAACCCCCATCGAGAACACGCAGGATACCACCAAGTTCATGCCCCATGCTGTGCTCAGCGACGCAACAGATACCACTATTGCTGGCTGTGAAGTGACCTGGGCACCATCTAATTCAGACTCTCTCGCCTGACTAGCTGCGCCAGCAGAAGCCGATGTACCATTTCTGCCTGGACACGATTGCGCATTGCCCCCCTGGCCACAAGTGACTTCAAGGTACTTCTTCTTCGACACTAGAAGAACGTACTGTCCATCTACGGCGGCCATGCCTCTAACCTCAACTAGGCGCTTTGCCTTGCTATATTCCTGCTTCTTGAGAGGTTCGAAGGCGGCCGTTGCCGGAGCCTTCAAGTCTCTCCTTGCGACGAGCAGATTGAGGTGCCCTTCCTCATGCCCGCGGGTCTTTTCCTCAACCATCTCCTTGTTTACTGTAACAGAAATGATCAGTCACGGCATATATGAACACTGGCCAGCGTGCTTACCTGGAAAATGTACGTCAACAGACAAGCCATCCCCGGGGGACGCCGTGGAATTTATCACCCAAGCAAAGGAATCTAGACGAGAGTACTGGCGTTAGAAACCGTGCTACACTTGTCACTCGAAGAATTTACAAGCAGTGGGAGAATGAAATACTTAGCGGTACGGCATGTTCTGGTATGGCCTTGTCATTCAGGCCAAATGGTATATCGGCATTGAGGGCAAATGACTTCGCCGATTGAACCCTGAACCGCAGCCCGTCGACAAACTCGGCTTCTTGAATCCTTTCCGCACCCCCGGTGATATTCACCGTCCGGGTGGCGCCTTGGCCGTACTGCACGAATATGTTTGAAGTGTCTTCCGACTTTCGGCCGAGAAGCATATACTCCCCGTCCAGCGACGTCATCTTGATGATGCGGGTTTTGTTCTCCGTCCTTTTTCAAGACGTGTTAGTCATCACGCGGACTGAACAAGACTATTTCGCGGCATGGATGGATAACTACTTGCATGTGGACGTTTCTCTGTGTTTCCGAAATGACCCACGATTTCTTGTCCTTGGCCAGCTTCCCGACATACGTGTTGGCCACTTGGACGCCTTGGCCCGCGAGCGCGACCGGGTCGTAGGGCAGCTCAATCTTGGCGATGAGGTCGTCGGCCGTCTCGTTGAGCTTGACGACCCAGCTATATTTGGACAGGTTGACAAAGCCCTCGCCCGTGGTGCCGCTGACAAAAGTCCCGGGCAGGGGGGAGGAATTGTTGGTAACGACCAGGGTGCGGTTTCTCGGGGAGAACAGATCCAGAGCCAGCCCGTCGACAAAGTCCTGGTCGGTTCGTGCCATCTACTCGTGTAAGTCGGGGGTTTGCATGTTCGGGGCCATGGAACTCTTCTCACCTGCCCCAGAACGGGGATGACGTCGCCAAACTTTGCCAGTGCATCCTCGGCTTTGGCGTTGGTCACGAGCGTTAATGTGATGAAGAGGAGCTTGCAAATGGTTGATTTGCGAAAAAACACTTTGCCCGCCATGGTGGTGATGCCGGCGGTCGAGGCTGTCTGACAACAACAATCTGTAGGCCGTTATGGGTGGTTCGGATCTACGCAGTGTAATTGGTACTTTTGAGACTTGGGCCCCATGCCCTGGGCTGTTCATAAATAAAAGTGAGGTCGTTATCGTGACCCTCCATTTGCGCTTCGTCGTCTTATTTTAGAACAGCACCTGGGACGCCACATTCTACGGGTAATCTAGAACTTGACCGGATCACGGGTGCAAAATGCACAAAACCGCCACCTGTTTGGAGTTGCGCATCTGAGGCTAGCAAATGTGCAAGGCGTGCAATCATGAACAAGGCAGAATGGTGTTTTCGGCAATCCGGCACCATGTAAAACAGATGCATGAGCTCATGGCGATCAACCGGGCAGGGATACCCAGTCCAGCAAGCACTGGCTTTTCAAGGATCAATGATGCCATAGACGCCAAGCCCGGGGATGTTTGCAGCTCAGATCCAAGGCCTGCAGAGCGCTCGGGACGGTTCGTCCAATTGTGAAACATGATCGAAACCGAAATTTACTGCAGCTGACAATTCCAACCACTCTCGTTGGACAAACGTGTATCCAACAGGCATGCAGGTGAAACCCGTGCCCAAAGCCTAGTTACAATTTACAAAAGTCGTACATGAGAGATTGACAGTGAAAGCGATAGCCGTCATACGTATCAAATCAACTACTTTCTACAAGGTTAGTATGGTATATTGTTGAGTCAATTGACCCATTGCCACAGGGCAAAAATTGTAGACGCCTACGAATTATCAACATGGCAGCTGTAATTATTCTATTCAACTCAAAATATATAGCTTAAAACTAGCAGTCTATATTTTCTATGCCAGGCCGTTACCAGAAAGACCCCCCTTTTTACATCTTGGCGATTCGACTCCTCCTCAGTCGCTCGTTCCGCCACCGCATCCCCCAAATCCACTCTATATACAACAGAACTCCTATCCCTACCGTGAGAATACCCAAGCCCAAGAATGTAGCAGCGGCCCCGAGAGCACCCAGCATCGAATCGACCAGCCCGACGCCCACGGCGCCCATCCCACAGCGCACCAGGTTGTTGATTGCCGTGGCGCTCGCGCCCATGCCCGGGCACAGGTCCGCCACCAAGGTCGTGTTGATGGCAAAAACGGCATTCGACGTGGCGGCAATCAAGAACTGCAGCGCGAGGGGCACGGCGATCCACCCCGGCCGCGCAACAATGGAGAGCTGCGCCGCCGGCAGCACCGTGAATCCGTAGAGCGCCGTGGCCACGATGAACAGGGCCGATATCCACGGCGCGTGGCGAAGCCGGGCGTGCTCGATGGGGAAGTCGGGCGGCAAATCCTTCTTGTTTTTCGAAGGCGGCGTCGCAGAGGGGTACCGTTGCAGGTAAATCCGCTCAGATCGCACGAATTCCCTCGTCATGAGTTTGCCGGCGACGGCAGAGCCAACGATGGTGCCGAGACCTAGCGGAAACAACGTCAAGTCAAGTGTTAGTATCAAAACCCGCGCCGTTGTGTCGATCCAGAAACCCCGGCGGGAGCTGGACGGACAAAAATCAAGGTTGGAATGACGGAGGGGGGAATAAGTACCGTTGGGTAAGAAGACCAGACCGAGAAGCAGGTCGTTGAGTTGAAAGAGGTCCTTGAATAGCCCTGTTGTGCTGGCAACAACCATGCTCCAGACGGTGTACACGGTGCCCCCGAATACCAAGCTGACCAGTATATCCTTCTGCCCAAGCAGCGCGAGGGGTCTGAGAAACGTCGCAAGCGTCACTTTGGGGCGAGGCCCCATGTAGTCGGGTTCCTCGAGGGGGTGTTTCTCCTTGACGAAGCGGCGAATGAGCGGTTGGTGGATGCCCGACAGTCGCAGCGAGCCGTTGCCAGCAATTGTCCGCAGCGTCTCCGGGAGAAAGACGGCGATTGTCGCCAGGACAAGGGACGACGTGACGAGCAGAAAGACAAACACGGAGCTGACACGGAGCGCATGAGCGGGCTGCGGAGGCGTCAAGTGTTATCTCGCATCAAGGGGCGTCAACTCACCGGAAACCGAGAAAGTTGGCCAGCAATCCGCCAATAACGGGCCCAACGGCAATGCTGAAATTGCGGACTGCACGACAAGCACGTCAGCGTCATGGCATTTTGAGGAAATGTCGACGAGGGGGGCCAGCATACTTGCTTGGTAAAAACTGATGAATGCCCCCCGCTCGTCCGGGGTGGCAATGTCTTGAATGACGCCGTTTCCTGAGAGAATACCGGTCAGTCTCGGTACATGTACTCGGGGGGATCTGAGGGCGTCAAAAACGTCAACGGTCGACGTACCAATGCTGACGGTTGATGCGCTTCCCGCCGCCTGCAGTCCCCTAAAGACCAGGAGGACGGGAAAGTTGGGCGACAGGCTGAGCACAATGTTGGACACAATGTACACCGAGAAGGAGTAGATGTAGATGGGCCGACGGCCCAAGGTGTCGGACAGGGAACCCCAAAACAAGGGAGACACGCCCTGGACAACGAGATACGTGGTGATGGTGAGCGAGACGTCGCCGAGGCTGACTTGCAGGTCCTTGAATCTCTGTCAGCGCCGGCAAAGGTCTTGATGCCACTGGCATAAATCGCATCAACAATCAATGATACTTGACATATGTACCTTGGCAATGGCGGCCAGCGACGGCAAGTATATGTTGGACGACAGGCCGGAGAACAGGCCGGCAACTCCAATGGTGACAATGATGAACCACTTCCTCCGCCGGGAGAAGACGTGAAACGGAGGATTGACGTCTTGCTCGAGCAAGTCGCCCTCGCCCTCGCCCTCTGACAAGACTCCCAGCTGGCCATGTTGCACGGCGCCTTCGTCCTTGGTCACAGTCGCATACGTCGTCGGTCCATCGGGCCACAATCCCGCCTGGCCATGGTGATTCCAAGCGCCGCCCTTTTCGCTCAAGTACATCCTCGACTGCCGCGTACGATTAGTCGCCGCGTCCTCTGGGAGCGGCCATTCCGGGTCGTAGGCGGGATTCGGCACCATGGCGGCGACGGTCGAGCCCGCGGCCACCAACAGCCCGCCTTGCACCTCGCGCCATCCCTCGAGAGTCGTGAACCGTCTAGATGCCCGGGTGCCTCCTTTATTTGCGTCCTCAGGACCGTCCATGGATCTCGGTCACGGTTGTCATTCATGGGCCGGGTGGAAAACAACGGGCTTCGAAATGGCCAAGCTTGGCCTGAAAAAATTAAACTTATAAAAAAGAGAGGTCAATTTTCACAAGGTGCAAGAGAAGCTATAAACTAGATTGATGTATTTGATGGAAAACCCATCCTGCGAGTTTATCGGAACAAGATCCACCAGATATCACCAGTTGCAACAGACTCGTTTCCAGGGACGAGGTGGCAGCGAGTCACGACCCATGCCAAGCCGGTATCAAGTCTCCTCGCGTAGTCTTATTGCCGGCGGCTCGATTGCCGGATTCGCAAACGATTGTGTATGTACATGTTTCAACAGACTGCCAAGAATAGAGTACACGTAGCGCCAATGCAACGCGAGGGCCACACACTTGAAACCTTTGCCACGGCAGCTTTGACGAGTCACGGAGCGGCCCCGTCTTCCTTCTGTTTCAACCTGGCCCGCCTCCGCCAGAGGAACAGGATGGCCCCGATGCCCAGGAGCCCGCCTGCTATGCCGCTGACCCCGACGAGGAACCCTGCCCCCGGGGGGGGGATCACATTGCCCGCCGGCGCTGATCCATTGCCGCCGGCTGTGGGCATGACCGTCGATAAAGTGGTCATGTTAGATGCGGCGTCTTGGGATGCCGTGACGGTGACGGTCTGGGGCATCGCCGTGATGGTCACTGTGGGCGATGAGACTCTCAACAGACTGCGACTGGTTAGTTGACGAGGGACCGGTTGGGAGTCACGGGCGGAGGCACCTTGTCGTCAAGGTCGTTGACGTCTGTGGCCGCGGTGATGTGACGACGAGCTTGGTAGGCGAATGGGTCGGACTCTTTTGCGCCCCGGTCCATCTTCCCGTTCGTCTGCCTGAAGAAATCGGACATGGCGACAGGCTTCTCTGGCCGGGAGACGTCAGACCGCCTCGGTCGTGGAAGGCGTGCAGCGTCAACGGAGGCGGGGGGCACTTTCTTTTCGAGCTCGACTTCATGGCGTCTGTGATAGTCCATACTTCGTCCTGTTGTCGATGGGGGGCGGATAGGATTCCGTGACTAGGTATTTAGCTTTGGGCGGCTCGAGATGCAAGACTCGGCCGGTATTTGGCATCTAGGCCGAGGCAGGGATCATGTTGAATTGATAAAACACGACCGACTCCGCACGGATGGGAAGGGGAATGTTTGCCTCGAATCCTGTAACATGAGCCCATTTCCAAATAGTACAAATATCGATACCGACTTGTGTATGACAAACGCGCTTCGTTTTATTGGACAGTCTAGGTTGTCGTGTCTCGAGCTCTCAATGTCTGTCTGACTGGGCCAAAGTATGCCGTGGGTTTCAAAAGAGCTCTTCTTTTTGCTGGGTGTTTATGCGAAGCAGTCTGTAGCATCATGGTGATTCTACGACTGTTGGGTGTTTATCGTTATGGAACACCACCATTTGGCTGCAGCCTGAAAAAGAAAGTGCCTATTTATTTCCCGTCATGTTGACCATGAAGTATGACTCGGGGATTATTTTATTTTGTTTCATTTTATGTATTTTATTTGTAAAACGAAAAACGTCAGTGGCGTGGCCAGGAACCGAGTTGGGGACTGCTTAGGCAGACATGATGCTCAGCTACACAAACTCATGCGCCGAAAAGGGCAATGTATGTGATGGTCATGCAGCCCCATGTCGAGACATATGGCAGACAATGGTCGCTCCAGTCTTGCTGTCGACTTGTGCCTCTGCCAGCGGTTGTGGCTGCCGGGATCGGAGGAGGCGGCGATAAAGGAACGAGGGTCCAGCAAGTCTTTGACCTTGGAAGAGAGAGATGCTGTGCGGGGTCCGCCGACGCATGCCGTAGTTATGCCAATGCCTGCATGTGGCAATTATCTGTCAATAGTTGGAGGATGCGAATGTGGGCATCAACACAGCCCAACTGCTTCTTATGCCAGAGAGACACCTCGTGGCGGGCGATTCAACATCCTCAATCATCGCTTGATGATGGTGACGGGGAGATCCATACCGCCTGCGCAAGATTAAGGTTGCTGCTCAAACTCTGAAAGTCATGCCATGACACCCATCAGCTACAACCAGCGGCAGCATCCTCAACATGAGCCACCCCGGCCCTCAAATGCCTCCCACCGCATAACCAAAAGATCCCCAAATGCGTGCGTTGTGACCATTCCGTGTACATTTTGCGAATAGTGAGACTAAACTCTCCAGATGCGCCCGATGCCGTCGGCAAAAGATAAAATGCAGTGGAACGCGCCCTTGTGAGGCATGTAGCAAGCGCAAGCTATCATGTCAGTATGACGATTATGGCCAGAAAGTACTCGTTACAAGAGGGTTTGTCGTCTCCCTATTTTTATACGTCTGGTACAAACTAAGTCTATTCTTCAAAGCTATCTTGCATCCCTTCAAGATCGGGCCGCCCAAATACACCCAGGCGCTGATATGGCCAATACGACTGGCCAAGGCGACTTCACCCCCATGACACAAACCAACCAGAACGATTCATGCACATCATGGAATTGTACGTCCCTCTCAAGCAGCTAACTCTAGACCAAGAAACGGCGCTCACTGTGCATTAATTACAGCAGCCAATGTCTCTCGACGCCTGCAGCCTCAACCGAATCTTCAAGCCATGGAGCAAACCGGCTCCCACAACAGTGTCGTCCAAGACGACCAGCTAGACAACAGTATATCCGAGTCTCCAGACACTGCTCCCTTGACGAATCCACTATCGACAGGGCCGTCGACCTTTATGCTGTCCGACACAGGAAAGACGTGTGAGTACATGTAGCCAGGCCAAGCGTGTCCAAGCGAATCGCCAACGCTGATACCAGCATCTAGTCTACTTGGGGCATTCGTCAAACTGGTCCTTCACCCGACGCATCTTGAGCATCACCTACGAGCATGTGCACCGGGTTTCTCTGCCATCCACGGCACTCATGTTCGACGGCAAAGTCTACATGCTGGACTGGTCCAGCGCCTCGGCTCAACCGGTGCTGCCCAATCTCGACTACGCCATCCACCTGATTAACAATGTCAAGTTTCACTGCTCGCCAATGTACCACCTGTTCGACGAGGACGTCTTCCTCAACGGCCTGCACGCGCACTACCGAGGGGAGCAGACGCCACGCGGCGGCCTCATCCAGCAGCTGTGGTTCATCCAGTTCATGCTGATACTCGCGTTCGGGAAAGCCCTCACCTCCAAGTCGAGCAGAAACAACCAGCCCCCCGGCGCGAGCTTCTTCACGCACGCCATTCACCTCTTGCCCAACATGACGGTCCTCTGGGACGAGCCCGTGCAGGCTGCCGAGGTTCTGTGCTGCATAGCCCTGTACCTCCATTGCATCGAGCACCGTGGCTCTGCGTACAACTATGTGAGACTCGGCTTGTCTTTTTTTTTTCTTTGGACACTCCAGGCAAGGAAGCTGATGTGACACGAATAGATTGGGCAAGCCGTACGGCTGGCAATGAGCCACGGCCTCCACACGAATCTAAGCTCGCACCACGTTGAGAACGCGCTGGTTCCGCGATGCCGCAAAATCTGGTGGACGATTCTCGTTCTCGACCGACAAATGACGTATCTGATGGGCCTGTCGCAGTCGATCCGCGACGACGACGTGACGGCGCCGCTGCCAGAGTTTGAAGGCGACGGCTTCCGCACCGCGGCGTTTGCCATGCGGACCAAGCTGTCGCATTTCATTGCGACTATCGACAGAGGTGTGTTGTGCGGCCCCCGTCTCCCCTGTGCCTTAAATCTTGTCCAATTTGAACCAGTTCCTGACCAAACTTGTCCTGATGGAAGCGATATACGGGCCCGACGGGCGGCTGAGCAGCAATTTCCTCCTCCGGACAAAGGATACGCTGGCGAGCATGGCAGGCCTCCCGGACGAGCTGCACCGGCAGTTTCCCCTGGACCTGAACAGCAAGAGAGTCGGGGTGTCGCGGTTGTCGGCGCATATTCACCTGCTCTTTCACCAGGTACGCTGCACGTGTCCCTTGGGTCTGTCGGCGGGGCAAAGTTACAATACTGACGCTGGATGATGGCTCGCAGTGTATTATTCTCGCGACACGGCCGGTGTTGTTCTGCTTCTACAAGATCCGTCTTGAGACGCCACGCTCGTATCGACATATTTTTAATTCCTCACACGCCGTCGAGAGTCTGCTGCGCATGTGTCTCGACTCGTCGCAGCACGTAATTTCCATCCTGGAGTGCCTGCAGGGCGAGGGCCTCATTGGTACGCATGCCGCTTGTTTTGTAGACGTCAATAATTCCTGACAGTCCCCCTGCAGAGACATTTCTTTCGTACGATCTCGAGGCACTCTTTATTTCCATGACGAATCTCCTCGCGGCACCGGTTCTGTACCAAGACTCGGGCTCGGCCTGGACGTCGTGGCGTCAACGAGCGTACGCGATCTTGGGCGAGATATGCAACTGCGGCAATCTGATTGCGCAGTATCAGCAGTCTGAGCTGCGGCACCTCGAACAAATGATTGACGGGCTCTGCATGGCGGAGACAATAGAGCCCGCGCAGGCATCTCGTGATGATGGTACTGATGTGTCGGCCGTGGCGGATGATGGTCCCCTGGGCTTTTCTGTCGCCGAAGATGCTTTGCCTAGCCCTGCGGCTGACGATGTGCTGGATGGGAATTACATTGGAGCTGGGTTTTCCACGGCCCAGATCATGGACATGGTGAATTCTATTGATACGGAGCATGGCGAGTGGATGTCGCAGGCGTTTTTCGAGGCATAGGCTACCCACGGTATTGGCAAAATGCGACCTGGAGCAGAAACAAGCGTCTTTGCTTCATCATCTGTCTGGCTGGAAACTATTTAATGCAAGGGTTGGCGTCCATTTCCAGGACAGGCTCACAAGTTCACAAGTTACAACCCAGGATTCGTAGGCTCAACAGAAGCCAACTCCCTCGTCTCACCTACTCTCCAGCTCACCTCGTCTCCCCCATGACTGCCTGCCCTTTCCGCTTTCTGATCTTTCCAGCGCCAACGGGCCTCGTGCTGCCTGCCATCAGCCGCGCGCAGCAAGTCCGCCACCCACGATCCCACAATGGGAAACATCTTGAAGCCGTGGCCCGAGTCACCCGACAGGACAACGACCGAGGACCGCGTCCCGGGCACATAGTCGACAATGTAGTCGGAGTCGCTCGTGTCGGCAAACCAGCACAGAGACCTCTTGACCAGCGGCCGCTCCGCCAGCGCAGGCAAAGTATGAGCCAGCAGCCGCCGCAGCTTTCCCTCATCGTGGCCGGGCATAAACGCGCTCCGGGACAGATCCCCCGGGGGCAGCGAAACGCCCGTCTCGCCGTCGGTATTGACGATGCCGGCCCCCATGGGACACAGCTTGAGCAACTTGGTTCCCGGGTCGGGCTCGAAAAAGAAGCCCAGGTCGCGCGCGTACGTGACGGGTATGCCCCTGAGCGCGGAGGCCTCGTCGTCGGTGAGCTGGACGTGCGCGACGGACCAGCACCTCGCCACGACCTGGGAGCCGAGTTGGGGAACGAGCTGTGCCGCCCACGCGCCCGCGGCGACGACGACGAGCCGCGCCGGGTAGAAGCTGCCGTTTGCTGTCTGGACTCCGCGCGCGGTTCGGCCAGCAGCACCGGAGCCGTCGGCCGAGGGGGCCTCGTAGTGGATGCCGACTACTTCGTTGCTGGGGCCTAGACGGAACCGGACGCCCGACTGGCAGAGATGCCGGTGGACGGCGGCCAGGGCATGTCCAGACTGCGCGTAGCCGGCGCAGCGATTCAGATAGCCTCTCCAGCCGGGGAGCGGCCCGTCGTGGAACTGCGGCACATGGTGGAGGATATCGCGTCTTGTGTCTATGCTGACGAGCTGCCGGCGCAGTTGGGCGTCCTTCTCAGCCGACGCTCGGAACCGCTGCATTGTGGCGACGGCCTTTTCCGGAGCCGTCTCGGACACGCAGTGCAGGAACCCCGTCTGGTGGTAGTACGGGGCGAAGAGCGGTGTCCTCCAGGCCGACACTGCTTTCTGGACGGGGGGCGAAGCAGAGACGGCAGACTGTCAGTCTGATGCCTATTGCCGGGATAGACGCGGCCGCGGTTACTTACCAGTGCCAGCTCTGTGTAGAAGGCGTCTTCGTATTCGGCTCTGACAATCTTGTTGAGGTCATTTGCGGCCGAATACCGCGATGGCACCGCGTCGTCCTTGTCCAGCACGGTAATGTCGGTGTAGCCGGCTCTGGAGAGGTGCAACGCCGTGGACAGGCCAAAGGCGCCGGCGCCAACGATGACAATGGGCGTAGAGTTTGCCATGTTTGATGTTTCAGCTTTGGGTCGACTTTGGTAGCTCCGAGTAGTCGACTGCGCGATATAAATGACAGTCTGATTATTGTATACTTGTGAGGTGTCGGCCGTTTCGTCCGCATACACTGGACCCTCGGGTGGCTTGCCGAGACGGCGGAGGTTACCTTGCCTCGCTTTTGTAATGGCGTAATCAGCGGGAATACATCGGAGGGTTTCGGAGGGGCTCTAGTGCCACGGCAGATATCTCCTGTATAGATTGTATAGTGCGGAATATCTAGATGCATGTATGGTCCATGGCATGATATATTTGTCTATCAATAAGTTACGATACGTTTTGGTATAGCCTCAAGTATGATACCAGGGTTAGGGTTAGGTTGTATATATTTTGCCTCCCATCGTAACTGCCGACTTGAAGTACCAATAACATTGTTGCTATTACTTAATACTATATATGGATCGCGAAAAGAGGAAACATCACTACTCAAAGCAACTTTGCGTTCCGGCATCGAAGAGAATAACCTTGCTCCATACTTGGCCGCAAGACTGCCATGGCATCCGATGTACTTCGGGTTCGCTCCCGTATCTACCTACAGGGAGGTAGGCTCATTACTATTCAATGTTATACAGAGTCATGTGATACAGTCTCAGCCGTAACCGAAGAGAGATTAGAAGCCCTACATAAACAGGCCACAAAATAACCACGATAATTGGAATTGATCAATATCCATCCCTTCTCAACAACTACACTGATCCCGGTCCGAGGTAGGTATGTCGTCACCATAAATGCTGCAGCCCATGGCAGTTAACATTCTACATCGTCTACAGTGATCTGAACTCTTGAAAGGGCCTCACAGCTGTCGTTTCTTCTCAGAGAGCGCTCTCTTGGTTATAGCTCCAAGCCGGTAAACACCATGGGCGATAAGCAGGGTTTAACATTGTGCTTCATAGGATGTGGTTAGTAATATTTTGCCGATGAATCCGGCAGGAATCCTAGTTTCATGCCACTCTTTCAACCATAATGCTCACTGAGAAACCACGAAATTAGGCAATCTAGGAACCGCAATTCTAGGTGGCTTGCTCAGTACTTTGACTGAGGGCCCAGAAGGAACATGTCCATTTTCTCAATTCATTGTCAGCGTGCGAACCGAGGTGTCCGTCACCAGATTGCAGAAAGAATTCTGCCAGTATCAAGTCAAACCACGCATTTACCAAAACGAGAACGGACTGGCAGTTAGCGAGTCTGATGTTATTATTCTAGCCACGGACCCTGCCGATATAGCTTCAGTACTCACCGCGCAAGGTATGCGCGACAACTTGGCAGGCAAGCTGCTCATAAGCGTCGCTGCGGGATAGACGAGGCAGAAACTCGAAAGCACGATTCATGGAAAAATAATTCCAGAGGAGATTGATAAGGTTCCTGGACTGTATCCCCCAGAGCACGTCTGGGTCACTCGCACCCTTCCCAACGTGGCGGCGCTGGTTCATCAAGGGCTCACCGTCATTAAGACGCCTTATCCCAGCATGCCAACAAGCTACCTAGCCCTCACCAAGGCAATTTTCGACCGTGTAGGAAAGACAATAGTTCTGCCCCCGAGTCTGTTGGATGCGGCCACAGTGGTGGGCGGATCGACACCCGCCTTCTTCGCCATCATCTGCGAAGCCCTCATTGATGCTTCTGTCGCCGTAGGAGTCCCGCGCGGCGTGGCTCATGCTGGTATTGCGCAGGCGATGCTGGGTACAGCCCATATGCTACAGGCGGGCATGCAGCCTGCTGTTATCAAAGACCTGGGAACCTCTCCCGAGGGCTGTACAATGAGCGGCTTGATGGTGCTGGAAGAGGCGGCTGTGAGAGGGCACGTTGGCCGGGCTCTTCGAGAGGCTGTCACGGTTGCTCGCCTGATGGGCAGCGATGTACACTTAAATGACACTAGAAAATAAACCAACGCCCTGTTTGTGTAAATATCCTGGTTGCCTATTCAAAAGATCATGGGTTTACCGTTTTGCAATGTCTTTCCGCGTATCACACATAGACACGCAAATTTGCATTCGCAGAGCATCGTCTTTCGAATGCACGTCTTTTTCTGGTCCCCTGAAACTGAAGTAATTTCCCCAAGTACCTCGTTATTTTTGAGTACCACCCTCGCCACACAGTCGAGTCTCGGCAAAAGAGCCGTGGTGCATTCTGTGCGCCCTCATCGGCAGCGCTTCCGAGTGTGGAACCGACCGTCGCCGAAGTCGTTTCCCGCATGTTTGTGTAAGCTGCCTGAACCAGATTAAAAAGGTCGATTCAAGTTGGGAATTTCTGTACATATGTAGACTAACTGGTGCAGGCAGGCTCGGTCTTTGCCCGCTTGTCCAGCAAGCGAGATTCTCCCCATCTCCTGGTCGCACTTGAGAATTCCATAAAAAACAGAACGCCAACCATTAAGTATCGGCATATAATTAAACGCAATAAAAAGGGCAATGCGAAACACAGCAATCATGGCTACACGGTTGGCGGCTTGCACTCGACCGAAATTGCTTCTGACGACTTGCAGTCGGTCGCCATGCCTCGTTCAGACAAGGACAAAGGTCACGCTCCCTTTTCGACTGCCAGACGAACGAAATGAGCCAAATGTAACGTCGCCTCTGATTGTCAACCTTTTGCAAATACATTGAATTAACATGGTTTGATTCCAGCCCGAGTACCGAAGAGGCTCTGCAGAGCGGGCTCAAGTAGAAAGGGAGCTGGCACGCCTCCGGGCTTCACTCCCCGTCAGAAGCGACATATTCTACAATGGCCAAGCACAGGCAGCTCAAGATTCCGAGATGCAGGTCCTGCCCGCCGAAAATAAGACAGTCTTTACCAATTTCCCACTGGCTTCCAAGGAGCAAGTGAACAAGGCCATCGACTCGGCGCTCCTCGCTAAAAGGGAATGGCAAGAGATGCCATTTGTGGACAGGGCCGCGGTATTCCTCAAGGCGGCGGAGCTTGTTTCGGGAAAGTATCGATATGAGCTTATTGCAGCAACCATGCTAGGGCAGGGCAAGAACGTTTGGCAGGCGGAAATTGACGCTGCGGCCGAGCTGGCAGACTTCTTCCGATTAAACTGCAATTATGCCGCAGAACTACTTGCGAGACAGCCCACCCGTGGCACAGACGGGGTCTGGACGTGAGTAAACATTCGTCATCTTCACTGTTGACGTCTTACTGACCGTTCCGTCTTAGACGAGTCGAGCATCGCCCCTTGGAGGGCTTTGTCTACGCCGTTTCTCCTTTCAACTTTACAGCCTTGGGTGGCGCCCTCATTTCCGGCCCAGCTTTAATGGGCAATGTCGTGGTGTGGAAGCCTTCACCCTACTGCATCTACCCTAGCACCATAATCTACAAGATACTGCTGGAGGCTGGTCTGCCAACGGACGTGATCCAAATGGTGCCAGGTGATGCCGAGCAAGTGACGAGCACAGTCTTGGACCACCAGGACTTTGCGGGAATCAACTTTATCGGTTCATCCCATGTCTTCCGCTCCATCTATGCCAAGATTGGGCAAGGCATCGGCAGCAAGAAATACCGCGAGTTTCCTCGCATTGTCGGAGAGACCAGCGGCAAGAATTTCCAGCTGGTCCACTCATCGGGCGATATTCCAAGCGCAGTCAACCACGCGATCCGCGGCGCCTTCGAGTACCAGGGACAAAAGTGTTCAGCTACCTCGCGCGTCTATGTCCCAGAGTCTCGGGCCCAGGAGTTCATTGCCTGTCTCAAAGCCGGGGTCGAAAAGATGACCATTGGGAGCCCCGACAAGGATTTCGAGGCCTTCATGGGCCCCGTCATCCACAAACACTCCTTCGACAAGATCAAGAATATCATTGAAGAGAGCAACAAGGACCCCGGTTTGGAGTTGATTACGGGCGGGAAATGCAATGATTCTCAGGGGTACTATATTGCCCCAACCGTGTACAGGGCCCAGTCGCCCGACCACGAGCTGTTCAACAAGGAGATTTTCGGCCCCGTGCTTGTACTTCATGTGTATCCCGACGCCAAATGGGGCGAAACCTTGCAAAGCGTGGACAGAAACGGCGGCGGGTTTGCTTTAACTGGTGCCGTTTTTGCAAAGGATCGCAAGATCATCCGTCAGGTCGAGGATACCTTGCGCTACAGTGCAGGGAATTTCTACATTAGTAAGTCTGCTTCGCAGTTATTCAACTGTCATCACGTACATACCTCTTTGCCTCTTTGTATTAACCGAGTTGCCTCTGCTAGATTGCAAAACCACAGCGGCCTTGATTGGCCAGCAGACATTCGGGGGAGCTCGCTCAAGCGGTACAAACGACAAGGCGGGAAGCTCGGACATCTTGCGGCGGTTTACGAGCCCGAGAACCATCAAGGAGGAGTTTTCTCCTCTGGGTGCGTTTACTTACCCAAGCAACGAGTCCGGCGCATGTAGCCAGGCGGTAGCATGACGAGCGCGGAGAAAACGTTTAAATGGAACCATGGTACTTTGATTAAGATGAAATACACACGTCCTCTTGGTCCATTGGTCTTCTTTCAACTTTGTTTGAGATTTTAGCGACTGTACCGCCATGAGCGCTTGCAGAGCAAGACGGTGACATCCTCACACGAGACGCAATCGATTTACGGACGTTGATGAAGACCAGCATTATCGCTATGAAAGAGAGCAGCGCTGGGCGAGGTTTACAGTAGATTCGGGAAGACTGAGCAGAATCTGCCTTGATGGGCGTCCCGATCCTACATGCCCCTATCACCTGCGTCTAGAAACTGATGTCTAACATTTCCTTATGAACATATATCCTCAGCTATCCCACACCAATCAGCTTCTTCTGGCTGGATTGTTCTTGTACAGTGTACGAGCTTCCAGGCTACGAACAGCAGATTTGCAATTTCAGGCATGGCGTAGTGCGTATTAAACCCCTTGACATCCCGAAGCCACGCAACAACAACTGTATATCGGCTGTAGACAACAGTCATGAGCAGGAGTCCTAGGATGCGATATGGCTGGAAGCAGCCGTATTTTTGGGTGCTGCCATTGGCCAAGAAGATGTGCTCGTGTGGCGTGCTGAAAGCAAAGGTAGGTACAAGGTGATTTACAAGCCCAGCCGCCCAAGGTTGACGGACCAGCTTAACGCCTTGGCTTCTCCCGTCAATGGATTTAAGTGGATCTGATGATTCCGAGGTCGGGCACACGATTTGCCCATTGTAAAGGCCATGTTCGCCCGCAGTCGTCCCATCACACACTCCTCCCTTTTGAACCACCATTCATTTTGCCCACAAGTTTTGCGGACGCAACGTACCTGGGTGGCGAGGCCAATGAGGAATGTTTTGTAAACCCGACTCCTGCTGGCACGACATCAGTTATTGGCTCCAGGGGTAGCCGGCACCTGTTAATCTGCTCTTGTATAAGCTTGCCAAGAGTCGACCACCGTTGTCAACTAGATGATTCGAGATGACGGGGGATCAAGATATCGCACAATGGACTGTATACTGCAGCAAGGTCTCTACCCCACGTTGGACTATTCTACATTACCCCAGATTCTGACTCGTGGAGGGCCCGGGCGCCGATCCGATGGATGGAGTTTTGTTGCAAGTCGGTGTGGATGGTACGTGGCGCGCTACGGCAGTCCTTCCGATAGTCGGCAATTGCACTCCCCGGCCCATCGTCTTTCTCGTTTGTCATGATAATCTAGGTGTTGAGCCCGAGCACTCCGTTCGAGCCCAGAAATGGCTCTCGAACCGTCGTCTTCCCCGCATACTACCAAGTATTCCACCGCAGGACCGCTTGCTGCGGAAGACACATTGGCACTGGTAGAGGGCCATGAGCATGTCGAGTATCCGATGTGAACACCTCTTTCATCCTGGGGCGAGGCAGCACCGGGTGAGGCATACACGAATGACTGATACAGGATAAGGCGCGCGCCCTTGGGTTGCTGCAAGGCCGCAGTATGACTATACAGGAGGGTAATAAGTTGCAACATGTAAACTCAAGTAACGCAAGAACGGGATGCGTTATCAAAGACAACGTGGCCGGATCATTGGCCGTTAGGCACAGCACGTACTCAACGGGGAACGTTCGAGACAACCATGTGTTGCATGATAGGGGTCACGCGGTGCAGAACTCGGAGCATAGTGAGCATATACCATAGTACGATAGTACAAGTCTCCAGTATCGTACCACATAGTGTCGGCTTGCAACCCGATAAGCCTCCTTCGCAAACATGGCGTTGAACAGAAACGGGCGCTACCAAGAACGCGGGGGATCGTGGCCATCATTAAAGTTTGCCAGTCGCCTCGCGACATAGTAGCCAAAGCCTCGGGCAACCCAGATTCTCGTCAACATACTCACTGGAGAGATGGCCGCTCTCCGACACGGGCACTATGCTCGCATGGCATATAGAGCACTGTCCACACAGGCATCGTCAAGAAGCAGCTCTCTACCACTTACAGCCGACGGCAAGTTCTGCAGTCCCCCCATCGCCACGTACGCCGAGAATGCGTCGCCAGCCACGGTGTCTGGAGAATCGTCGCCTGCCCCTTTATCCGCCTTGCCCACGGGGGTTCTTTTCAGGTCTCTGTTTGTAAACTCCATCTCTTCCAGGCCACATCTTCTGAGTCGGGCCATCTCCTTTATGGACTTCTTGACCCAGCCCAACAGGCCGTTCCTCTTTGACATCAACCGCAACAAACTACTTGCGTGGGTCGTGAGAAGAGTGGCATATAGACACTTTTGCGCCGGGGAATCAGGCAGCGAAGTCAGGCAAACTCTGAAGCGGTTCAAAACGATGGGATTCCGAGGGACAATTGTCACGTACGCGAGAGAGACGGTGTTTGACTACCACAAAAAGGGCGTCCAGGGCGTGGAAATGGCATCATTTTCAGGGAAACCCACGGATCCGTGTCCAAACATACAGAGCTGGCGCAACGGCGTATTAGAGACCATCGACATGTTGGGACAAGGCGACCAACTAGCGGTCAAGTGTGTATCACGATGCCCGAACTTCAGATACCCTCGACTAACCTCGCGTGATTGCTAGGATGACCGGCGCCGGTCCCCTGGTGACGGGGGCCCTTGCCGCCGGACAGCCGCTCCCCGAGCAAATGTCCACGGCGTTGATGGCCATCGGCGACGAGTGCAAACAGCGCCAAGTGCGATTGCTCATAGACGCCGAGTCTCAGCTTTACCAGCATGCCATTGCCCAAGCCGGGCTTGATCTCATGAAGGTGTACAACCGGGATGGCCAGGCCCTCGTATACAACACGTACCAAGCCTATCTGAAGGGCACGCCGTCGGCGATAGAGTCGCATCTGATGGCCGCCCTCGAGGGAAACTTCACACTCGGCCTGAAGCTTGTCCGCGGCGCTTACCTGGCCACGGAGAGGAGGGACCTGATCCACGACACCAAGAGAGACACGGACGATGCTTACAACGCTATTGCTCACGGCGCGTTGCGCAGGCACATGGGCAGCATTGGGGGCCAAGGAGGTTGCCCCTTTCCCTCTGTCAACCTGATGCTGTGCGGGCACAATAAAGAGAGTGTATTTGGCTCTTATGCGCTGCACCGGCAGCGTCTGCTGGAGGGCTTGCCGACCGTGCCTGTTGGGTTTGCTCAACTGCAGGGCATGTCGGACGAGATCAGCTTCGGGTTGCTGCGGCTTGGGGAGAGGCAGGGGCCCGGGCCTGAAGTCTACAAGTGCTCGACCTGGGGCACGTTGATGGAGTGCCTTGGGTATCTCACGCGGCGGGCTCTTGAGAATAGAGACGCCGCGGGAAGAACGGTGGATGAGTACAGGGCATTGAAGATGGAAGCGAAGAGGAGACTTAGGTCACTCATTCCACTATGAGAGGTGACGATTACCAGAGCGATGTGTCCGCAGGTTCTATAGCGTTATAAGAAATTGCGCACCACTTGAAGTTGGTTCGGTTGCTTCCAGTGATTCTACTTCTTTCGCAGTGTGTATCCGGAAAGCTCAATTTCTATTATCTCTTTTTACGTCCCAGAAGTGAGGAACATCTCAACTTCTAGCATGAAAGGGGATGTTTTCATTCTCAAGCCGTCCCCCGGAGGCTTAGGGTCCTTCGCATAAGACTCCTTCAACTAAGTAGTAAACTCGAGTTCATGGACACGCATATCTTTCGACGGACTACTTGTCACGTCACGTTGCTGGTGACGAATGGATTCAGTTCCGGTATATACGGCTTCTAGGAGGGTGGCGCAGAGTGGTGGCATGGCTTGGTCTATTTTGTTTGAAATGATGTCTCACTGACTCAACATCGCCGAGTATATTCTCGCATGCTTTCCGGTATATGATTCATTTCATCCAAGCTTCCCCAATCAATAAATCCCACAAGGAAAGAACAATGACTTGGCTTTTCCCATGGCAGGAAAGACCTAATTAGTCGTAGGAGCATTGACATTAAGAATCAAGATCATGCGAGGCAAAATCCCAGTGCCATATATCTATGGGTGGTGTTTTTATCATATGCCAACTTCTCACCGCCCATCGCTGGCCAAGCACTTTTCTTTGATCCGTTCACGCCACGGTTAAAAGAACCGAGCCGAACGGCCCTGTTCTTGGAGCCAATGTTGATATCAACGCCTATTTCGTTCATGTCATGTCAATTCCTTATGACTTGTTCCATGTGAATAATGCCGATGCTCTCTTTTGTTTCTCATCAGCCACAGAACCTTGACGGGCCATCACAAGACCCCTCTGCAGGCTGCCATCTTATTTTGCGATGATAAAATGGAACTCTTAGCAGCCAGAACCGAAGCCGTTAGAATGTGCAATATAAGGTATAGAGTAAATCTGTGTGTCTTCCATACCCTGAAAAACATATGCTCTAATTAGCCGATCAGGTAAGTTGCCAGGCACATATCCAAAGCAGGAAGAGGTAGTGCCTTGCAAAACCCTCGTTGTCGTAAGCTGAAACCGCACAAGGCGGAACGCAATGCCACGTTGACCCTGGCGCGTCTCGGGCGGTATATGGTCTTGCAGGGTAATATTTCGCCCTAATGCGACTGCGAGTGGTGGAGCTTAGGTAAAGTCCCGGTGATTCTCTTCCCTAGGCCGTCTTCAAGCTCGTACATATAACTAATGCGTCACCACATCATCGTAAATCTCTCAACGGAACATGTCCAAAAGCCGCTGTACGGGCCAGGCATGGGTGTCTCGGTACTTCTCCACCACCATTCTGATTGCCCGGCGCTCATACTGGTCTGTGAAGAAATCCCCGTATAACTGGATTCCAAACGTAGCATGAACAAGGGCAGGCGGCGATGCAGGGTTGCAAAGGCCAATTCCGCACTGCTCAAGTAGAAGAAGTCTCACTTCATTTTCGACGTGTCTCCAACTAGATCGAGAAGTTGCTTGTGCCCTAAAGGCTATCAGTCAAAGGGTGAGTAGTAAAACTATTGAGCAGAGCTTACCTGAGTTGAGGATTCTCGGC